GTGGTGCCCGCGGGCGTCATCGCACCCCTTCGCGTGGGTATTTAATGATTATACGCTGACTGCCACCTGATTGCCGCTGTTGGGTCGCGCTGTCGATGATTTGTCGATGCTATGTCGATAGCACTGCAATGAAACTATTTCAATAGTACAGTTGTAAAAAGCTACACTTGCTTGCTGATGACTTTGGGATGTTTTTTCAACAGTTTCTAAGGTTAAAAATAGTTATAGATATAACACCACTGCAAAGCTGCAGCCATCCGTTAGTTGGCGCATTAGTAACGACGTGCATGGATTAGTTATTTCTACTGGTTAATTTCTTTATTTAATGGCTTATTTTAATCATGTCATAGGTAGGCATTTCATCTTTTCCAAATTAATAAGAAACAGTATTAAATTGTAATCGTTTCCAAATATTACAAGAAGACATACTACACAAACGTTATTGGCTAAGCTTTTAAGCAAAGAATCCTTTCTGACATCCGTACTAGACAAGTTACTTAGCAATTCCAATTTCTGGGCCCTTGCCAAATTCGGAGTTCGGATCACTTTTTTCTTTTACTACTTCCTATTTCTCTACTTATACAATGACGAGGACAATCCGCAGTGGATCTATCAGATTAATGTTTTAATATTGAATTTTATACTACAAGAGATCAACCGGCCATTGTGGAAATCATTGGGGGAGGCCTATGTTCAGCAGTGGTCGTCCTGTGACCGAAATGATGATGATGATGACTACAAGAGAAAAGCTTTGATAGTCCCAATTAAATTTCTGCTTTCCTAGCGAGACAAATCAAAACTATTTTTTCAAAACTATCGATATCGACTCGTCTGCTCCGTGTCCCATCCCTCAAACTCGCGGGGAGCTCGCACTACACGGGTACACGCGGGGGGGCAGGGGGCCACCGCAGTACATAGCCTATGTATCAGCACATACATACGGCCCTCAGCACATAGCCGGTGGATTCCCGAATTTTGCAGTTATTTTGTATCGAAAACTAGGTTATTCGACGATTTATTCGTCTATCGGCTGACGCGAATTTATTGTCCCTGTATGAATACTCTGACAATTTGCGCACCTGATATTTTAAATTTAAATATGGAAGGTCTTCCAAATTCAAACTTAGAACGCTTGTTCTCAGAGCTTCGGCTGCCGCGTAGTAGTCTGTGGTACCGCCACAGATAAGTAATGGTCACTTTTCCCAATAGATGCTGCAAGAAGATAATATTATACAGAAAACAAAAACAAGTAGCAACAGCGAAGTCACAATTTATTTTAAAAGTATTCTACAGATTTAGAATTGGCAAGAGACATCAATCAATCTTTACAAGTAAAGATACTTGAAAACTTAATTTGATAAGTGACAAATAAATAGTTCAGCTTGATGACAGTAACTTCCCTGAAATAGCTTCTAAAACCTATATTTGGCATGAAATTACTAGATGATTCTATGTAGATGATTTTTCAAGTCTTATCTTCTTACTTTATTAAGTTTTGCGTCCTTCATTGACGATCTATCTTTTACCCAACAAAGCCTATATTTTCACTTACCAAGTACTTAGTCTAGAATCTAGATTAAAGTAGGCGTTTTTGCTAACTAGCGTTGCGGAACTGGTATTAATGGAACAGTAAAAATAATACCAACGTTAATTACTACCTTTGACAAAGCCTCTCTTATAAAAGCGTTTAATGGAAACCATAATATGAGTACAAACTGACCGACAGCCATACGTGGCCATACAACTCGACACATTTAGGTACCAGCTGCACATAGCTCGCTAGGAGTTAGGTGGGGTGACAAGCAAGATATCGACCGTCTTGAGGGCGGCCAAGGACCGCATCTGCTATGCGGACACTAAATATCCGTTGACCTTACCGCTGTGTGCCTATGCGCGCCTAGTACATGTTGCTCGCAATTTAGTCCGGTAATTAATAATGGCTCAATGACAGATAGGTGTAGCCAATGGTGCATACAACAATAATGCAATACGTCATCAAGCTTAAAGGTGAGGGCTGATGAAGCGTGTTAATCTATGGTTCGGGCTGCGGACGGTGTAATTAGATGATTTCAGTGCAGCCATATTCGTGTATTACTTGACAGGTAATTACAGTTTCGTTTGTCATTTGTTTAATTTCTAAACTACGAGTATACTTATCTTACTTGATACAGTTATTAAAACGTTTTCTTCATAAATAAACAAAACACAATCACAGCAATCCTCATTGCAAGCACACATTGAAAGAAAAATATTTCCTATAATTTTCCGTGTGAAGAAAACAAAAAACAATCGAAGATACTTCGCGGAGTCAAGGCGTATCAGCCACGTTTCGACACTCACAAATAAGTTGTTTCGCCGTTGAATTGATGGCGTTTCACTTCGCCCGTCGCCACTTGTTGAATGAAAATCTTCGTATGTTTTCGGAAGTGTACGCCGAGAGTTGAGAGCTAAAATGCCGCTGAATTTTTCAGCCGTTTAATTTTTTGGTAGGGAAATTGAAATGTATATGCTTTTAATACATTTATGCGTTCAAAAGTAAATACGTTCAATAAATTAATAAACTTATTTTTTACGAGAAAATCGGAAAGCTTTTTAGCGAAGCTTTACGTTAAAGGTAAAAAATTGCTGTGCGAACCATAAACTGTTTCTGGTTATGTACAGCTACAGGATATCACACTATACATTTTTGTTACAAAATAGCATCTATTACGACTACTTTTTTTTTTTTTTTTTTATCCACAACGAGGAAGCTCTTGGCCTGTATCTCACCTGATGGTAAGATCTTAAGATCCTACAGTGTTTCGCTTGATGTCCTGTCGTCCGTACTTACAATTTAAGCTCAGCTCAACCCTTGCGTCTCTTTATCAAGATTTTTGCTAATTGACACCTTTTCAAAAGATTACTCTTTAAACACATCCGTCGCCGTCCGAAGGGTCTGCTAAATAATATTTACTTTATTTTCCCATCGCCCGCTGTAATTATCACGATTTTATCTCATTCGGAATGCGTTAATGAACGGTTCGTACTTAAAGTAAATTATGTCATTATTTTAGCCATCGGCCGCGTCTGTGACTAGAATTTATTTTATCGAGACAGTGAATTTTACCAGTATTTGTCAGCAGTCGTTATTTTTATAGATAAGAGCATAATTATCAGTTTTTTCATTGCTCCACGAATTGTTAAATGGTGAAGGATGCTATTGATTATTTATCTTATACGCGTGTTGAAGAGAATTTATGCATTCGTTGCAATTTAATGAATAAATTACGTCACGATATGGGCGATGGGTTTCGCTGTGCATTTATTTATTGTCTTTTTATTCTTTTTCAACATTATTGGGAAGTGCAATGTGCAAGACACCTTTACAACGTCACATCCTTTTCTTTTCAAAAAACTAACGAATCTTTATTTGGCTGAGTTGCACCAGCTTACTTTAACCGTAATTTTAATAATCTTTTATGGAGTTTGACAGATTTTTGACGTTTATAGTTTAAAAAGTCTTGTAAGAATATGTTTGTAGCTAAGCAACATTTTAGCTGCCCAGCTTTCATTTGCATGTGTTGGTCACGTGATCACGTAGATACAAAGCTTAGGGCGCACGGATCCGTCTCATTCACAATGTCAGTCGGTCATTCTAAGCGGCGGTGTATCGTGGGCTTTATACGGCACACATTTCAGCAGGCGTGGGCGTGTTGTTGTTTAGACGTGTTTCAGACGGATTGAAAGGACAGGTTCCGATATTGGTTGATTATTTTGTGAAGTGCTTTTGTTGCTTAGCTAAATAAAGCTTAGTTATTAATCAAGCGCTTTTAATAAATTTTGATGTTTGAAAAGAACAATTCGCGTGCTTTTGGCCTATTAATATAGTTTTTTCTTTGTTTTCTTCCTTTGACTATAACTTTGAATCTATTCGTATCTTTAGCAAAATTAAATGTAGAGATAACTAAATTAGCTCTAATAAATCACACTTTCTCGTTAAACTAGTGAGTACTTAGCGATGCAGCCTTATTCACTTTAAATGGGAGCCCGCATATTAATCCTGCCATGATTAGGATGGTGCTACGCTTATCCCAGCCATGCTTGCCTTGGTGGCAACATTTATACAAATTCCATGACCGAATGTATGACTGGTAGAAAACGCTTGTTTTAAGTGCACTAAACTGAAAATAAAATAAAATTAAATGTCCTCATTTAGGGCTTTATTAAATTAAATCCGCGAATGACATTGTACCAGGGCCGCATCACGCACGCGGAGGTATATTTAGTGGTTGTCCATCGGAAGTATCGATTGGCGCGGCCGTTGACCCCACGCGGCGGATTCGTTAATATATCAATTATTTAAAACTAGCGATCACCGAGCTACCAGGCGCGCATGGGATGAGAGATTTTCGCTGCGTTTTTGTTTGTATTTTAGATTGGTTAAAACGCACCTGTCTGTAAATGTAACTGCTTGTTTTTATTGTGCCCTTGTAAATTAAGCTCTGTTTGCTTGATGTTTTAAATGCCAAACGATGTTGCAAAAACTAAACCGATAGTAACTGAGAGAAAGCTCTAAGATCGCCTAATGTTACCCTGAGAAAATGTTTATAAGAAAAAAGTAAAAAAAAACAGAGGAATGAGAAAAACAGAAAATCCTAGATGAAAGAAAGTTACATAAAGTAGATCTGTAATCATAAAAATTGGCTATATTATAAATTATTTAATTTTTAGCGTTAAGAGTCGCATCTCAAACTAATTTGAAAATTATAAATAACTTGAACTAAGTAGCTCAGTTGGAAGAGCAGTCGCCCGGCAAGCAAGGTCGTGGGTTTAATTCCCGCCTTAGGCAGTTCGATATTTTCAAGTTATTTATAATTTAAAGAAAATACAAATATTCTTTAAAATACTTACTGTCCGTTTTTATAACACAGCTATTTACTCACATACTGAAACAAATGAATAACGATAATTATGATAAAATTAATGATATCAAGACTAAAACCTCTTTTGTTTTGTTCCAGGACACCCTCACCCCCGAACCAGCTGATATGAACGACGACGACAACTTCTCCAGTGAGTATCACAAAAACGACAAAAAACCAGCCACTTGCATCAAATCAATTAAAACATTGGTATTTTATGCATTCAAAAACTTTTTTGACACAGCACACAACGCTGGCATAAAATACTCAACCCATTGGACTTTTTGAATTTGAAAATCGAATTCCAAATTTGAAATTTATTGGCGAATGTGATCTGGTGCAGGTCAGGGCTTCAAAGACGCGGAGAAGTTGAAAATGATGTTGCTTGCATGGAATTACCACAGCCAAAGTCAAGGTAAACATTTTTTTTAACGTGTGAAAAAAGTATTGGGTATATTTGACACCATTCACCCATCAATTTCTAAAGCACAACTTTTTTTAAAACACACTAACCTGGTCTTAAAAAAACTGTAAATTAAGATTTTTGGTTGCTTGGTAAAGGATGATGGGCACAAATGTATGGAAAGTGGTACCCGCTCCAATAGCCATAACCAATATATATTTTAAAAGGCCTTTAGATGTAGGAAAATGTCTGCTATGGGGCCAGTTCTAATTCACGTTTTGAAAGCAGTAATTCCACTAAGCATTATAATGAAAGTATAACACAATCATCCATGTATACGAGTATGTATTATGACTACAATCTATTAATATAACTAAAAGAAGCATTGAAAAGGAAAGGATTATACCTACGATGAACTACCCAAGCTATTAGCCCTTTATTCGCTTTCATCATCATCATCATGATCATTTTAGCCATAGGACGTCCAGTTGAACATAGGCCTCCCCCAATGATTTCCACAGTGGCCGGTTGGTGGCGGGCGGCGGCCTGCATCCAGCGCCTTCCCGCTACCTTTATGAGGTCGTCGGTCCATCTTGTGGGTGGACTTATTGGGTCTTGTGGGTTTATTCGCTTTAGCAACTCATAATAAAACCATTAAGAAGTAATAAAACTTTAACTCCTTTATTAATAAAAGTTACACCCTAGTTAACTCTGGCTTAAATTGTTATTTGGTATGGAAATGTCATTTTAATCCAAGGTTTTCCCTAGGTGTAACTTTTTATTAATAAGGGGGTAGTACTTCTTTAAATAAAAATATTTATTTTACAATTATCCCCATCAATAATTATAGAGTTAAGGAAGGATGCTGGAGCAGTAAACGCTTCCTGCCTCGTATAACCTAAGTACCATACGATGGACACGTATGATACTTCTTCTTCTTCTTTCTCGGTCCCTCACTGATGAGGATCGCGACCACAGATAGTGTTCCTCCACAGACTGCGGTCATAAGCTGTGTGGACCGCACGATGCAAACTCCCGCCCACCGTCTTCCTCACCGCGTCCGACCATCTCGTCGATGCCCTGCCCCGAGCGCGTCCCCCTTCATACTGTATCATACCACAGAATACATAATAGTAGCAACAGAAATTGCACTCCTTTGTGTAGGATCAGATGCCGGCATTTTAACGGTAATAATAATAATGCAAAATATCCAACGCACATGGTGCATTCGAAATCGCACCTTACTACTACGCTCACAAGAGCGCATTTTTTTTGTGTTCCGAATCGATCTACCTCACAGCTCAAGCATCAGGGTTGTTTAGACAAAGTAAAATAAATAAAAACTTATTTTTTTATTGTATTTACGATTGGTAAACTTTAATTTAGTGGTGTTTGTATAATCTTACCATCTCTAAAGTACCTATTAATAAACTTCAGTGTTGCGATAATTCGAAATTGGACAAACAGTTTTAAAAGGTGTCGGAAAATAGACACGGTGAAGTAAAGTTAATGTTTTTATTAGCTAAAATGATTTTTTTGCTACAGTTTTTTGTCATAAGTATTTCAAAATTATTTTAAAAGTGTAGTTTTTTATAATTATTTAAATCACTACAGTTAATTATTACTGCTAAATATTACGATTTTCCATTAAAGAAGAATAACAGTGCCGTTGGAACAATAAACCTTGATTGCGACGATGATACACCGAGCGTGTATAGGTACGCGTGTGCTCACAGGCGCGTCACGGCGCGTGGCGGCCTTTACTGATTTGCAACTTGAAGTTGTCGCGCGCTGTAGGTAATTATCTCGGCCGGCATAGGCGAGTGACGGAGGCCTGATCATACTTAGGTTACACAAAAAGTATCTTTATATTCGAACGCAACCAGATCTGAGGCTGGTGGCCATAGTAAATGTTGTTCGTCTTGGTAAGACCTTTCAAATGACACTACAAACATAACTATTGGAGCCGGGTACCATTCTGCAAAAAAGTATGTATATCTTCGTACACAACCAGATCTGAGGATGGTGGTCATAGTAAAAGTTGTTCATCTTGGTAAGACCTTTCAAACGATACTAGATACATATCTATTGGAGCCGGGTACCATTTTGCCCATTGTCCTTTGGTAATTGATAAAAAGTTACTCAATGAGGGTTTTCGCGATTGAAAAATCCGCCAGATGGCAATACGTAGACGGGAGGTCCAAATGCTGCATGATTGGTGGATTTTGACATATCTGTCAATGTCATGTCAAAAATAACCAATCATGCAGCATTTGGACCTCGCGTCTACGTATTGCCATCTGGCGGATTTTTCAATCGCGAAAACCCTCATTGACTTGGAAAAATAGTGACGTCATCGGCTTGTATAGCTCATTTTGACAGCTCATGAAAAGTACGTCAATTGATTGGTGGTGTCAAATACCCTATTAGATTCCCCGCAGATTGCAAACTTTTAGTCGGCCGATATTTTGGTCGGGCAGTTAATAAGTATTGAGATGTATGAAAGTGCGCACATTACACCGATTTGGTAGCGGCCGATTCCATACAAATAAGAAGCCGAGCAAACTATCGTCCAATAGAAAGTCTGTAGTCTACGGAGGCTCTTAGCAATATCAATACAACCTTTTTTGACGATTTTGAAGTTTATTAAGCCTAGGCGCAGACCACCGATTTTTAGCTGGCCGATAGTTGGGTCGGGCTGTTAATCAGTATGGAGATGTATGAGAGTGCGCACATTACACCGATTTGGTATCGGCCGATTCTTCACACAAATTAAAATTGGGCCCAACTATCGACCAACTAAAAGTCTGTGGTCTGTGCCTAGGCTAAAAATGAATTTCACTAACACCCCGTGAAGGCGTTGAAAAAATAGTGTTACTTACAAGTAAATGACCAATTAATCCTTTTTGTTTATCAGTTTAGTTCCGTAATCACAATATTTGCATCAATAATTACCTACAGCATGATTAAACACAAAACTTCGTTAAAATAAGACTACGATTGTTATCCCTCTTCATCATATCCATATTAATATAAACACAAGCTCTGTCTGTCTGTTACATATTCACTATTAAACGCTCTATTTTGATAAATTTCGGTATAGAGTTAGGTGGGACTTAGGAAAAGGTCATCTAGGTTTACTTTTCATCACAAAAATAGTTTTTTTTTCTTGGCTTTCGCGGTTTGCGTTTAGCCACAACGGTGTAAAAGTAGTTAGGTAGACATTATTGTACATCTCACAAAAAAAACTATTCTATTCCCATCTCTCGATCTCACAGCTGCAACTCCTGTGTAGCCAGGATCTACAGCTTGACCGCCAACAAATTGTGATGGCAATCACAACCTTGGTGACAATGCTTCCTCAAGTAGCGCTATTACTTAGAAGTCTGCGATGGTCAGAAAACATAGGGGAACCCAGGGAATATTCCCACAACTCGTTCCCACCGCTGCAACTCCTAGGTAGCCAGGATCTACAGCTTGACCGCTAAAAAAACCAATGGAGGCCAAGACACAGGGGAACCCGCGGTCAGAAGCTAGTTAAAACTTAAACCAGACCCAAGGTGCATTCGGGGTAGGAATCGCGTAATTTTAACGTACCGTTGGCTATTTTTACTACAGAAGCCTTACAGACGGCCCGCGGTGTAAGCTGGTGAGAGCGGCCATTTTGAAAACATATTTGTAGCGATAAACGTTACGGCTATCGCATGAAGAACCTCCTTCTTTTTTTAAATCGGTTAAAATGGGATCGTTTTGGAATTAGTAAATAGATAGAGACATTTTAAAGTACACTACACAAGACAAGAAAAGAAAGAAATGCACAAAAGAGACGGTACAATTTAACTTAATTTTTATGATAATTTTGTGAGGGAATAATTTTTTTAGGTAACATAGTGATGGATTAATGAGACCATGAATATTTTAGTATTTTCTTAATCTGTCTTTGAACAAGTTACTAATGAGTTTGAGTGACTTTAAAATAGGACTTATACCTAGTGGATCTAAGTTTGGTCTAGAACTCTAGATGATGATTTTACTAAGTTTTGAGAAGCTTTTCTTTGAAACTATGTAATACATGGTTTCCAAAGTTGAAATAGCTTTAGGATATGGCGTTTTTTAAATATTTATTTGCAATAAATACATAAAATTCTATAAATAAAATGACCTGGCCGCTCCCACTCAGCTGCGTTGCACCAGGGGCGCAGAAGTCGTAACTACCTCAAATTATTTATAGGCGAGGGCTTGTTCGGTTTGACATTTAGAAGCAGATGCTCGTCCCCCGCGGCCCACCCCCGTTAATTTATGCTGCCTTGGTAACAGGTATGCATACCGAATGCATCGCGAAATTATAGGAGTGTCGTCCCGGAGGTAAAAAGAGCAAAATAATGTTTGTTTTCAACGAGCAGACGTGGAAATTGCTAGGAGGTTGTTTACCGATTCGGTTGATAAGCCTATGCTGTTTAACTTGGGCGTTTTACCGTTAGCTGGCATGGTAACTATGGTATTATATTAAGAAAGGTCACCGCCAAAGTCGGCGCCGGCGGGTACATGTGACTTTGCCTTCATCTTGCCGCCGTCTGACGAAAAAACGCCCGATCAAAATTAATTTCTCCCAGTTTTTACGAGTTGCCTTAGGTGACTCCTTGTAACTCCTGGTGCCCTGGTACTTGCAGGCCGCAACGGAGAGATGGCGGAGAGCGGAGCGGACAGCATGGCGGATCTGTGGGCGTCCTACCACAGCGCTTTGGGGCTTGGCTCCAAGCCCCCTAAGGCCCCGACCCCATTGGCCCAAGGCCACTCGGTGAGTTTTAAGGTTGAACAGCGTTTCATTGTATTATTAATTATTTATATTAAACATTGTTAATGGCGTACAACGATAACGGCCACAACTTGGATCTTGCTGAAAAAATGACCTACAGTCAACTACAATGGTCCAAGCCAATATTTGCAATCGTGGAATATTAACTAATTTGTAGAAGGTTACGAAATTGTGTTTCTCAAATTAGCCAACTCAGATACTTATTTTTAAATCAAAGGCTCTAAAAATCTTTGTATTGTGTCTGAAAACTTTCTTTGGTCAGAAAAGTTTCTAATGAACTCAGAAAAGTTGCTAAACTTTTTTTAATCGAAGTAGGTATGAATGAAGTATGATTAAATATTTTTCTATCCTAAATATTGTTCTAAATCAAATCAAATCAAATTTCTTTATTTGCGTAGGTCTATTAAAAAGACTGACGGTAGTTCCTCTGCATCTCCATTATTACTTAGGTTCTTCCAACTAAAGGAATGATAGTAGGGTTACTATTACTTTATGCCAGTGTTTTTCAACCTTTTTCATGACGCGACCCCCCCTAGCATGAAAAAAAATTCTGCGACCCCCCGACCGTTCGCTTTTTTTTCATGCCTTTTACAAAGATGTTGTCGGGAACGAATTCTTCAATCTATACAACATTTATGCATTTGCATAGTTAGATTTCGGATAATCTAGCTCTTAACTTCTCTGGTTTTTTTACTGAGGTAGTTTTTACGACCTCTCGCGACCCCCCTATAGAGGCTTCGCGACCCCCCAGGGGGTCGCGACCCACAGGTTGAAAAACACTGCTTTATGCTATTAAACCTATTAAACCTCTGATTGGTTATTCCTATACTCGTATATGACTGTTATCTAACCCAAGGTATGCTTAAGGTGAAATGGGAACTAACAAACCAAGTTATTACGTCCCGCCATTTTAATCCCAAACTGTCCGCTATTATTTTAAACGGGCTTTCATTTTATATGCAAAATAAGATTGTTATTCTACCCTCAAACCTGTACGGGCGGCAGTTAGCGAGATCTCCGACTAGACAAGACTGGTAGTAGATTTGAATAAAACTACGCGCAAATTATAAATGGTTTTATATCCCATTGGAACTAGTTTTATAGTTGTTTAACTACCAAACTTTATAGCGCCGTTTATTAAAAAGATATTACCAGCACTTTCAAACTCCTTAGATTTCATTTGGGATATAAACTCTACCAAAGCTGTACAGGCGACGAAATTTAGCGAAATCGGTTTCCATAACCAGTCATTTCCATTGAAAAAAGGAGAAGAACTGAGGTTGAGACATTGGAGTTAGAAATCATGAGGGGCCTTAGCTGTGTGACGTAGCCTAATCAGTACATGACACAACTCTTCGAAACAAATTAATTCAGAAATCATCAATTAAGTACTGCACTGTCTGCACTAAGTAATTTCGAGACTACATCTTAATAATACTATTTTAGTTTAACTAATACATCTTTAGGATCCAACGCAGTCTGGTCTTATGAGAGCAATTTAGTACTTATGGCGAAACTTACGAAGCTTCTTCTAAGCACTGGCCCATTTATTATCCTGAAGCAATCGTAGGGTAGTAATACTAGGACGTGCAAAAGCGCTTATTGAAAGCCTATTTGCAGAAGATAAATAATATGACTTATGACTTTCTTGCGATGCTACGACACCATGCTGAGTCCATACCTTTTCGGTATCATTGTAGATGTACCTAAATCTTGTATTTTGTCACCTATTTTGTATGATGATACTGATCATAATAATAATAATCATCATCATTATTTCAGTCACACACAGGACGTCCACTTCTGAACATAGGCCTCCCCCAATGATTTCCATATCGCCCGGTTATTAGCGACCTGTATCCAGCGTCTACCTTTATTAGGTCCCTGCCTTTTCCGATACGTGACGAACCTTGCTGCCTCATCGGTCGTCAGTTCTGCGTACTATTGCTCACAGTGCCCATTGTTACTGTTAAATAAATCTTTTTCTATTAAATAAATATTTTTCTATTCTATTCTATATCTTAACCTCCAGAGCCCGATCCACGTGGGCTCCGCTACGCCGGTGGAGCCAGCCTCCACGCACGACGAGACCTCATCCTCCGACCGCACCAAGGACGACGACGATGCTGGTGCCTCTGACGATGATAGCGATGATCGGGTGGATCCGCAGCATCATGACCCGGAGAGGCTGAAGGCTTTTAACGTGAGTTGAATATATTTTAAAGTTGTGATAACATTTTGAATCCAGCTATTTAGTAATGAGATTTAAGTTTTTTAGGGCTAAACAGAAAATAATCTCATGCTGATAGGTATTACTCAAACTGTCATGATACTGTTCAGGTCTGAGGTTCATAAGAGCAAATTCAGCCATATATGACTAATGTGTTAGAAAAACTTGAGAAAAACACACATATCAAAATACTTATAATTGTCTACTTTTACTTACCTTTTTTTCATCAATACTCAACTGAAACCGTTCTTTCCTCGTGTGTGACGTCATTAAAATAAATCATTATTGGATTTTGATGTTTACGTCGAGGTGTTACGCTCAAAATGTTATTGTGGATTGTTTAACGAATGCTCGCGTTCATTGAGCACCATTACCAAAATTTTCAGTTTTTATTTGTCAGTTTTATGTGGTGTGCAAAATAAAGAGTACCTATATTCATAGTTATTTACTTGTGTTTCTGTCTAATCATTGCAGATGTTCGTCCGCCTCTTCGTTGACGAGAACCTAGATAGGATAGTGCCAATATCCAAACAACCCAAAGAGAAGATCCAGGCCATCATCGATTCCTGCACCCGACAATTCCCGGAGTTTGCCGAGCGCGCCCGAAAGCGTATTCGGACGTACCTGAAGAGTTGCAGACGGAACAAGAAGGTGCGCGGCGACGGACCGGCGACGGGCAACGGCAGCAGCACGCCGTCCGGCAACGCTTGGGACTCAGCGGTGAGGGTCCGATCTCCGCTGTTTTATGTTTGCCTAGTACCTGATTGGGAGATATTGTCACTAAAATATGGATTTTTCTTTATTATCATGTATCTATAACGTGATATATGGAATCATCGATCTTTTATTATTTTTCTTATTTTTATTCTTAAGATTTTTGATACTGTGTTTTAATATTCTAATTTCTAGAAAGTTTAAGTCGAGAATACAGTTAAGAATGGTTGGTTGGGCTTTCTACAATAGTGTCTCAGCACTCTGGAGTCGCTATTTGAAAGGAATTTCCGTTGTTTCCCTTAATCGACTGTCTAATTGTTTTTAATTACAGTTTAATTAAATTCTTCAGTAACAACGTTAACTGTATGTGTGCCCCACTTCGTAACAAAATCTCGATGTATCTGTCTCTCTCTTATCTGTCTCTCTCTTAGCCAAGAGAATCTAAAAAATTCATACTCGTAGCTATCGAAAAACGTTGATTTCTGTAATTGTAATTGCTTCCAGTTCAATCCCAGATGCAGATAAAAGTCTACGGTGGATGAAAGTCACATTACATTTTATAAGATTTTTGGGTACCTTATTCGAGAACTCTCTTTATGTATTCTGTCACTTATTCACAATCTCAATGACAGGTCCTTTTTGTCCCTTTCAAACCCCTCCTTCATGTGCCAATAAATCCCGGTTAATTCCAGAAAAGTGCACGAAACATAACAAACTCCGCTTTGCGCGCAGGTGCGGCCGACTCCGGCGCATCTCACGTCGGTGCAAGCGGAACACATACTGGCGCAGGCGTGCGAGAACGAGAGCCTGAATGCGAAGCGCATGCGGCTAGGATTGGACCCTGTGAGCCAGCCGATGCCTACCGTGCCGACGCCGATGGTAAGTGTTAAAAGCGGTTCCCAAACTTATTTAGTCTACTGCCCACTTTGAGAATAAATTATTTTTTAGCGCCACCCATTTTTGTAGTCAAGAGTCGAGCTCAGTCGGTGTCTAAGAATCCTCCTAGTAGATGACGCCTCCCAAGCCTCTACACAACGTCCCGATTTTTTTTTCTGGGTCTCTTACCGCCCCCCTTTAATCCTGCAGCGCCCACAAGGGAGCGTTATCGCCCACTTTGGGAAAGACTGTGTTAAAAGAAGCCAGGGGAATATTCTGGTAACCGAGTGCGAGAACGATCACTGAAAACTTAAACGCGAAAAGCGTGCGATCAGCCAGCAGATACCTACTGTGCTGATGACGATGGTGAGTTAAAATGACAGTTAAGAAAGCTACTGGTATGCTTTGTGAGATACCGGTAAAAAAAGCAGTTAAGGAATCTTTTGGTGTGTGAGAACGAGAGCCTTAACGCCAAGCGCATGCGGCTGGGATTGGACCCCGTGAGCCAGCCGATGCCCACTGTGCCGACGCCGATGGTAAGTTTTGTGAGATGCCACTGAACAAGGTTCAAAGAAATCTTCTGAAGAAAGCAGTCTTAAGTCTTCTGGTGAACGCGTGCGAGAACGAGGGCCTCAAAGCGAATCGCATGCGTCTAGGATTGGACCCTGTCAGCCAGCCGATGCCTACTGTGCCGACGCCCATGGTAAGTTTTAAAATGACAGTACAAAACATACTTATTATCTTCCATTTAAGAAAGCAGTAGAGGAATCTTCAGGCGTGCGAGAATGAGAGCTTGAATGTAAAGCGCATACGGCTGGGGTTGGACCCTGTGAGCCAGCCGATGCCCACTGTGCCGACGCCGATGGTAAGTTTTAAAAGAAGCCAGGGGAATATTCTGGGGCATGTATTTAAATGATCTTTTTAAATTAGCAAAAACGGCAAATAAAAAAATCTAAATGGTCATCTATTTTAAGGCTAGGATTTACCGCCTCGATGCCGTGCATTTGTTTACCTCAGCCCCCGCACACCTCGCACTGACACTCGCGCTGACACTCGCGCGACGCGTTGACGCCACAGTGTAAAAACAAACCGTAAGTTGGATGACGGTTTACGTAATCTTCAAATAGTTAATAAATCTATATATATCGATGGGTGCCTGGAATAAAGCCACAATCGACAAAACACAATTTTACAGGAGAAGAGATTTAGTGACAATTTTGAATAATTCTAAACTAAGAGGCGTATCAAAACGGTTTGTATATCAAACGATGCGTTATTTTTTCTGGAGTAACATTTAATGTGCTTAAGGTTATAGTGCTTAGAATATACTTTAAAAAAGGTATAAATACATATTGCCGCTTCATACATTGAAAGTCGGTTCCGTAAGAGTCCATTGTGGTTTTATTCCGGTAAAAAGTGTGCAATTAATCAAACAGCAATAGTGTATTGCAGCCTCAGGCGCTGATCTGAAGGATACAGTAATAGCCGTTTGCTTGTAGAAGATTTAAATAAAAGTTTTAACATTGTATATTGCACGATTATTCCGGTCAACAAATTTTAAATGATGAATGGGAATAACGATTCAATATCCATAGTGCTTTTGGTAAATCAGGCAGTTTCAAAGATAAAATTCTGAAAAAAATTCAAAAGGTGTATAGGGACCCGCAGTTTACTAAAATCACTTAATCGGAAAACTGCTGCTATGGCTATTGCGGCTTTATTCCAGGCACCCATCGATATAAAAGAAAGTCGTGTTAGTTACTTCGCTTATAACTCAAGAACGGCTGAACCGATTTAGCTGAAAATTGTCAGGGAGGTAGTTTAGAGCCAGGAGAAGGACATAGAATACTTTTTAACCCTTTCGAAATTAAAAAAAAGTCTGCTTATTTATTGCCATTAAGGCGGAACAAAGTTCGCCGGGTCAGCTAGTAAATAATAAACTCTAGTCTCAAACTAAGCAAAGCTTGTACTATGGGATATGAAAATACTTAAATAACATAACATAAATAAATAAATATTATGGTTAGAAACCGTGCATAGTGCAGTCCACACAGCTTATGACCGCAGTCTGTAGAGGAACACTATCTGTGGTCGCGATCCTCATCAGTGAGGGACCGAGGAAGAAGAAGAATGGTTAGAAAACACCCAGCCCGAAACAAATATTATTATAATGTTCATGCACACAAATGTTTGTCAATCAATAATGTCAAATGAAAGATGATAATATTAAGTCAAACAAATACTTTTTACCGACAAAAATAGTAAATGATCACAAAAATTTAAATTCCATTTTAATATGAAATACTAATGTTCTTTTACATTTTGCTATTCTATTTAAGCAAATGACTCTAAATTAATCATTGTAAACCCAGAAATAGTAAACAATCCTCAAAACAACTTGCCTAGAGGTCCTCGTCTGACCTTTTAGAATTTGTAACTCAGATTCAAGCAGTAAACTTCTAAAATAATTATTTATGGTATCAATTAAATAACTGTATCGCCATCTAGTTTTATAATTCAGCATGTTTAAAAATTTGTGAAACATCAGAATTGATGACTCGCCTTATATTCTTTCATCATCAAAAAGTACCTAAAATTATCATCTAATTGTAAATTATGGCAACTATTTCCTCATAATTATTTGAAAATATAAGGCAAAAATGTTTAAGTTTTACAAAACTATGAAGAGCAGATATCTCGAAAACCATACAAGATATTATCGAAAAACTTGACTGATAAAAGTAGTAAATTAAATGAGTTTTCATTTTGTTGCAATAGTCATATCGCTAGGACGCATAGTTATTTATTTAGACAGTTTCTGAGATATAAGCGAAAAACCCAATAATGGGACCTTCAAAGGCTGCGATCGAGAACTTTTGTCATTCACTTAAGTTACAAGTGTTTTATAAGTTCGGCGATTTTTGTTTGTTAGGAAAAATGGATAAAAAAATCAAAATCAAAAATATTTATTCAGTTTAGACCACAAGTGGCACTTATGAACGTCAAAATATAGTAAATAATAAAAAAAAGAAAAGGTAGCCCTTATGGGGTACTATACATATGTCTCCTTACCTTTTGGGCCCTACCAGCGCTTCGACACAAACATATGGCAAGTGCTGAGAAGAAACGCCGGAACAAACTCCTTACGATCAAAGAATTTGAATCAAGTTTTGCTTATAAAATGAAATTAAAAGTGTTTGAAATGTTAAAAATGGACTTTGGTGAGTCTTCTGTGAGTGAATCAAGGGTTTACGAGTGATAAAATCGTATCTAAGAAGACCATGAAGGCATAGAAGATGACGAGCGCTCTGGACGCACCAGCATATCAACAACCGATGAAAATGTGAAAAAACAGAAAGAAGTGGTTATGAAACACTGTCGAATCACAATTTTATTGGGGAAGATGCTGATGATGTTAGCATATCGTTTGACTCCATGCTATGAATATTTTTTGGATATTTGTCGGTATGAAACACATGGCAACAAAATTGCTGAATTTTGTGCGAAAGTGGCGGAAAATTTTTGCTAAAACAATACTGTAACAATGTTCCAGTCTCCAAATTTACCAGAAATGGCTGTGTATGACTAGTTTCTATTTCCGTGAATAAAAATAACTTTAAAGGGTCATCGTTTTACAGACATAAGTGACATTAACCCGTAATCCTGAATCCTGATACATAAAGTTAGCCTATTAATTTAACACGGGTACGACTGTACTCAGTGTTGCACTATCAAATGCAATTGACGCGCCACTATGCCAGGGTTTTTATGTTCCTGGTCAGGCTTTAAATATAATTTACTGTATTCGTCTGAATTAGAGGTAGGTAATAACTCAAACGTTAAAACGCAAATCGTCAGACAAAAAACCACAACTAGCATAACGTGACAACCTGATATGGTTGCCCGCAATATGGTAGTATGTGTAATGATAATATTGTATTAAGTAAATAGAATTTACTGTATTCGTCTGAATTAGAGGTAGGTAATAACTCAAACGTTAAAACGCAAATCGTCAGACAAAAAACCACAACTTAAAAGAACTTATAAACACAAACTTGGAAAATAGTTCATCAGTTGAAGAATACGTAAATAAAATAATGACAGCGGCACACAAATTAAGAAATATAAAATTCAACGTAGACGATGAGTGGTTGGGTACTCTGATGCTGGCGGGATTGCCTGAGGTATACAAGCCAATGATAATGGGATTGGAAAGTTCTGGAATGAAAATTAGTGCTGATCTAGTAAAGAACAAACTATTACAAGAAATACAGTCGACAGAATCAGACACTACTTCTGCATTTTATACAAAGAATTATCCCAAAGGCAACCAGCAAAGTACTAATATAAAAGGACCAAGATGTATTATCTGCAACAAGTATGGTCATCTCAGCAAAAATTGTTGGCACAAGAAAGATGATGCAAAATCTGATGAAGATACTGGTTATGTTGCTGCATTTTCTGCATGCTCAATTAATGACACAATGAACTGGTACGTAGACTCTGGCGCCTCCATGCACATGACGATGCACCGGGAATGGCTTCATGAGATCAGACCGCCACCTGTATCAAGTATTCGTATTGCTGATAACAAGTTATTGAAAGTTGAATGCTCTGGCAATGTTTTGATAGAAGCACTGGCAAAAAATGGCAGCACAGAAAAAATACTAGTGAGAGAAGTTTTTATGTTCCAGATCTGAAAACAAATCTATTATCAGTTGGGAAAATAATAAAAAGTGGCTGTAAATTGGCATTTAATAAAAATGGTTGTCAGATTTATAATAAAGCTAATGTTTTAGCAGCAACAGCATCGACCCGTTGACAGATGACTCTATGGTCACTGGTCACGGTCGAGATCGGTATACTAAGAGAAAATCAACCTTGCGATTTAAAAAAAAATAAAGAGGTAAAAATTATGATGTGGGGTTCAGGGATGCCAGAAGTAAGAAATTATTTTACATAGCGCCTCTAGTCCCAAACTAAGCAAAGCTTGTAATTTAAACAAATATGGCAATGTACCATTCTGCTTGCTTATTGGCCGCTAAGCCCTTGGCCAACTCAGTAAACGACCAACGACGGACGATTGTCACTCAACCACAAAGTACCGCGTAAATTAAAAGATATTTTTTAATTAAAAATATTAACCAATAATATTTTTAGTTAGATCAAATATATTTTAAAGTTAAGTTATACTTAGATCGAAATGTATTTATTAGGTGATCAATATTAAAAGGCAAACTTGATATAAAAATCATCAAATTAACAAAATTAAAGATCAATAACTAAAAAAGAGGATCAAATATTATTTTTGTTTACTAAATATTAAAAGAGTATGTTAAACATAAATATTATGTTACCTTAAATGAAGATCATTCATAATTTATCCGTAGATCAACTAATATAGACCCAATAATTAATATAAAGATAAAATATAATAAAAAACATCGTTTATTTTTAAAAGTGCACATACAAAAAAGATCAATTAGTTTTTAGAGGATCAAATAATATTGTCCCATATTCTGGTAACCGAGTGCGAGAACGATCACTGAAAACTTAAACGCGAAACGCGTGCGATCAGCCAGCAGATACCTACTGTGCTGATGACGATGGTGAGTTAAAATGACAGTTAAGAAAGCTAAAATGGTATGTTTTGTGAGATACTGAATAAAAAGTAGTCAAGGAATCTTTTGGTGTGTGAGAACGAGAGCCTTAACGCCAAGCGCATGCGTCTAGGATTGGACCCCGTGAGCCAGCCGATGCCTACTGTACCGACGCCCATGGTAAGTGTTGAAAGAAGCCGAGGAATTTTCTAGTAAACGCATGCGAGAGTGAGGAATGCCTCAAAGTGAATCGCATGCGTCTGGGATTTTACCCTGTCAGCCAGCTGATGCCTACAGTGCCTACTCCCATGGTAAGTTTTGTGAGACGCCAGTAAAGAAATCTACTGGCAATCGCGATGGGAGAACAAGATAAATGGGGGTTGGGGATCTGGAGTTGGACTGCATCAGCCATCTGATGTCTAAGTTTTGATAGAAGTACAGATCAAATTGTTACAGCTCACTCATATTGCATCATCTATAGTACTTACGTAGTCATTAATATGCCAAAAAAAAAGATTGGTTTTTAGGCAAAGAAATTAACATTGACTGCCGATTTAAGTAATTTTCTTTCCTTTACAAAATTCCTACTAACCAGCTCCAAACTAAGTCTCTCCCTTCATTCCAGGCCATCGACACCACCGCGACTTCAGCCGTGGCCTCCTCCTTCCTCAGCCTGTACAGCGGAGCCATCAGCAGCCCGGCCTCTACGCCCACTACCAGCACAGCCTCGCTGCCCACTGCTGGGCACAGCAAGGCCGCTGCGGACACCACGCGGCCGTCAGCCAGTCCCACTATGGAGAACGCTCTCTTGAACAATAACAGCCTGAAGCTGGATAACGCTAACGGCAATGCTGGGAGTAAAACTGCCAGGTGAGGATATGTTTTATGAAATTCATCACCATCAGGTCATTATTTTAGTCTCCACTGCAGGCAAATGGAGGAATTGGCTTACACTCCCCACGCAGGCTAAACGAGTTGGGGAGGCATTTTTTTTTAAAGTAGTACTTTTGTGAAATACTTAGGTTTAATTTGTCGTAAGGTTGACTTTTCAATCGTTTGCACTTTTCACTACTAAAACAACAAATAGAATAGAATATTGTTTATTTGGCACAATACACAATACATGATATAGGCACAATACAAGATTAAAACATCATAGAAAAAACAAAAAAAAAAAATAGATTTGAAGTGCCCTGTGCCAAAAAGATCCCTGACTCAGCATTAGTCGTGACAAAGATGCCACGACACTGATTTTCAGCAAGGACAAATGTAGTATCGCTCGGACATGATATTCAACAGATCGTCGATCCACCGAGTGGAGATTTTTTATAGTTTCGTGTTTTTCATAATCAAAAGCTACTCCGCCCCTTTCTCTTTTGGGTCTTTCTTTTTTTCAAACGTCATTAACTTCTAAATAAAATTGTAACTTCGATGTTTTATTACTATGTTGCGTATTATCCTCATATTCCTCGTCATCATCATGTTCATTACGGAACATAGGCCTCCCAAATGATTTCTATTTCGCCCGGTTGGTTTTTAAGTATTATACTTACTTTTAACATGTTAAGTGATTGTTTCCTTTGCCAATTCCAGCCCGGCTTCGTCTCCAGCGCCGCTGTTCAGACCCTCGTTCCCAAATACTTTCGGCACTCCGCAGACTTTTGGAAGGCAGCCGTAAGTTGCTTTTACTTGTTAATTTGTGACTGAGAATTTCTTCTTTGGATAATTCTTTCTTTTACTTTTTTTAACCTTTTTTCCATTCATACATTATTTATTAATTTGATTCAAATCTTGCATTACTTACACTTAAAATATTAAGATAAAACTTTTGATAAATCTTCGCCATGATAAGCCGCTGCCTTGTCGATTGGACATAATACATAGAGCAGCTCTTCTGTATTGTAACTTCTGTTGTTGATGTAGTATCAATTACTATCATTTAAGATTAGTAGTTTTCCAGCTTGGCGAATTTCTGCGTGAATGTCAACCAAATCACTCTTTATTAAACGATATTGTTGTTATCTTTTTGCAGGACCAGTTCAAATCCGGCAACAGCGCTCTCAAGCAGCGCTCTGCTGTCAACACTGACTTCTCTGCCTCCTACAGGTCATTATTTCAGTCTATTTATTTATCTTTATCTACAGAAAAACTTAATTTTTAATGATCTTCATGAATTTCTAAAATAAATATTAGTGTTTCAAACTTTTTTACGAATATTTCAGGCGTCGGAGTGAACGCAGCAATGGCGGCTTACCAAAGTGCGTTATTGTCGGCTATGGCAGCGCACACCCATACATTCCCTACTAGCCTCGCTGGTAAGTTGGTTAAATATGAACTAATTGTAAAGCTACGATGATTTATGACTTTGCATTGGAATTGATGTTTATAAATGAAGTAAGGCTTTGATTTCTGTGAACAAACACAGCAATATTAAGAAAATTACAATTAGATCAAGTTCGAGAGAGTAATTACACATAACAGTTTTAGCAAATGTTTGTCGGCCGTTTGGTGGAGTGGCTCAGAACGGACTACTATGCGGAGAGGTCCCGGGTTCGATTCCCGGCCGGGCAGAAATTGAAATGATGAATTTTAATTTCTGTGACGGGTCTGGGTGTGACTATGTATAATATGTATGTATTTAAAAAAAAAGTATATAAGTAGTATATCCGTTAAGCTAGCACCCATAACACAAGCATTAAGTTGCTTACTTTGGGGCTAACTGGCGCTGTGTGAAATTGTCCAAAGATTTATTTATTATTTATTTAAATGTATCAACCATTAAAACATGAATTCTATTGATTACAGCTCCAACAGATCTGTCACTGAAGAACACGCCTACCCCGACGTCGCTCCACGCCACGTCCACCGTCTCTTCTCTCGCGGCCAACACCGCTTCTTCCACTTCAAAGACCCCTCTCCTCTCACACAAGCTGTCAGGGGCCGAAGTGGGAGCCGTCAGGCAGCTCATCACCGGCTACCGTGAGTCCGCTGCCTTCCTTCTCCGCTCAGCCGACGAACTCGAAGCTCTCCTCTTGAACCAACCCTAGGGTTCAACCAAACCCTCATTCGCTGACACGCTCGGGTTCAAATTCGGTTACTTTTAACCTGAATACCTCATTTTAACGAGTGTGCCGCCGAATGGCCGGAAAAGTGCCCCAAAATTGTTTCACGTTGGACTTGTCAAATTTGTACGTGTTTACGAACATTTTTGTATATTTGGACGATATTGTTATCGAGGACAAATTCAAAATTGTGGTTTGATAAATGCTTTGTTCGATTCCGGTGTTACGACAATTTTTATGCTATTTTTATTTGAATTCGTTATTTAAGTGACTGTTTGAGGATGCCAATCGCGTAACGTTGTTTTTTAGAAGTACAAATAATCCAGATTCAATACAATAGTCAGTTTTCTCAATAGTTCATTAATTCACATACAATACAGGCTTTGTGTAACCATATGCTATGCAGTAGAATACAGTTCACAGTAATATTACATCGCTTTGTTTTCCAGACAATGTTCGGTTGTCATCACTGTCCTAGTGCGTCTAGTTGTATGGTGCTTGTTTCCTCACAGTACAGTGTTGCCAACTTTTTCTACCGTTTTAATCTTGTCCAGTTATAGTTAGTAGTCACGAGTGCCCGCTCGTATGTCCATAAGTCTATTTCGGCGATTCGTACAAAGCTGCCATAATTATTGTAAAGAAAATTAATACGTGTTGCCATTCGACACTGGTTGGAAGAGTACAAAATTATTTTTGTGTATATTTAGATGTAAGAAAGAAATCAGGGAGATTCTAGTGTTAGGTTTAAATTCGAATTCTTGCCTGGTGTGATTTGTTTAGTCTGGTGCGAGTCACTAGGCGTGCTTGGTCCTGGCGGCTACATAGGTATACCTATCTTCGCGTTTTAAACATTTTGGAGTAAGAAATACACTATTTCACTTACACGTTAAAGTATGAATCTAATATTAGGTTCTAAAGTGGCATTTTAGATATAAGAAGCACGAATTTATTTGTTGTTTTGTACTATAAGAATAGTGCAGTAGTTGTACTTATACATGATTAATATATTTCTAATTTATCACTTTATTTAAAATTCTTCGATTGATTAGCATTTTTGTGGTCGGCCCATACAAATTTCTAACTTTCTCCGTCGTTGTCTTAGTTTCTTCGTATGCATTTCGTATTTGAAGTAACTTTCGCTTTGCTCAGTACAATGAACATTTATGTTCTTATATCTATTTGTTACCATAGATTTTATGGCCAAGTACTATAGTTAGGTATAATTAGTGTTACTGCTTTTATGATGTACAAATAAGGTTCAATTCATTGTAATATAAATGAATCCGTTTTCAAGTTTCTATATGTGGCCTATGTTATTTTGTGCAAAATTTTCGATACTTATACCTCGTTATCACATATTTTGTTCAATTTGTTAACAAGTTAACTTAGGATAGTTTGTTTACAATCTCGGCCAGTGTTAGTCGATGTTTCCGATTTAAGCAACTACTATAGGTTTTGATATATTAATAAGTTTTGAAACAGTATACTTAAATAGAATAATTAAATGTCATAAACGCTTATTAAGTTGCTACTGATTTTATTGCTTCGATATTTGACACCAATGTGGATAGGCCCAAATGCGTGTATTGAGCCAATCACATCTCAGGTAAATTTGAAATGGACCAATCACGTGCTGGTATTTTTGCGTGGCCCATCCACAATGGTGCAAGATGTTCGGAGACCGCAAGTAATGTATGATAGTTTTCCAGTTTGCCAGTTTTCTCAATAGTATAAACGCTTCTCGCCAGTTTTAACATAGAAAATTGTAAATTCACTTTTGAATATTAAAATTGCCAAAGAAACGAATTGATTTGTGTACGTTATGTGGAATTGCTGATTACTTTTATGTATTTGTATGATTATGTTAGGGTTAATTTAGCTTAGTTTTATCTAAAAGTCATTCCAATATTTTTCTAAAGAGAACATCATCGGTGCGATAGGAAATGCTGTAGTCATTGTAAATGAAAAATATGTAAAAAGTATGTTTAGAGTATTATAAAAAAAGTTGATTAGAAATATGAGAAAGTTGATGTTGGGATAACGAAAAAAAAAACGAAAATGGTGGTAAACGTTGAGAAAATGAATTTGTTAGACATTAAAATATATTATTATTAGAGATGTATAAATGGTTTACAATTATTATTATTAGTTTGAGAGAATAACAAAAATGATGAAAATGACAAAATGGCGATTGTTACTATTACGATATGAGAATTTAGTTATAATTTTGCAATTTCAAAATGTGAGTTTTACAATTTTGAAAAAGAAAATATTAAATATGCTCATATACAGATGTTGGTGTTATTTATTTATTTGCGCAAACTTTAATTACCCAATAATAAATTAGAAAAAAGTGAATACTGTACTAAATCAGTGACATTTATTTAATCAAGCAAGAAAATTAAAAAATGAACTTAATTTTAATTAAGTTACTACCGTCGAATGAATCCATTAAATCCTGTGTGTTCTGAATTCAAGTCCGTTATTTTATTTCATTTTTCTTTTCAGTTATTACCACTTCACTATGTCAGGGCGCGTTTCGAGCCGCGGCCGCGACGTAGGATACCTGCGGAAAATAGTAATATACCTAAATTTTGAAATAAAAGTGAAATTAGAGGAAAATAGAAAAAAAGGAGGTTGCTCATTTAAATAGGTCATGACACTGTTAACAATAACATTATAAAATTACAAAAAAAAAACTTTGTTTTAACACTAGTCTTATAAAAGATTATAGTGAATAACTATTGGACTTCTTGGCGGGAATCTGAAGCGTCATGTTAGCGGTTTTGTTTTATTTCCTCAAATTCGTGTTTGGGCGACTATTAATGTGTAATAATAATGGTGGATTATTAACCATTAAGTGTTCGTGAACGTGCATGAGTGTGGGCAAGTGAAGCAAAACAGTGCATCGTGATTCTTCTGGTTCTCTCAAGTTGTCCATAGGAGGTCTTAGTAAAGCACCACAACTTTACTGAGACTCAAAGGGTGGGAAGGGGTATCATCTATCATCCTTCATTATAATCATTACTTGATCTCATTTTGTAACTTGTATCACATAAATACTTGAAAATGGCACAAATCAAGTCGACCTCGACGTGTATTGCCAACATCATCAAAAAAGAAGAAGAATAACTATTGACTTGACTCCTGTCAACAATTGACAATTTGCTGCCTGTTATAAAAACTTAAAAAGTGTACGCTTTCATATTCAAAAACTAAAATATGGTTATAGCTCACTTATCAATCCGGAAAGGGATCAACACCAATACCTTTTAGCTGCGAGGCAAGGCGTTTACGTTACGGTGCGGATAAGAGCGCGTTGCAGTACGGAGTTTCCTACAAATAATACTGATCGCCTCGAGTTGACACGGTTACGATCCGTTTCCGGGTTGATAAGTGTGCTACGTCCGTAAATTACCTGTCAGGGAACGGATAGTAACGTTCGTCGGCCATCAGTATGTGTGTCGCGTTGATTATGAAGTCCATGTTGTTTTGCGAGGCCAAATACGAGAACATGGCGGGGAAACGATCAGTGCCGCATCTGAAAATTCGTCCATTTTTAATAATACATTTTATAATAACAACAAGCGCACTGTGTGTGTTCTATCGCCCGTATTCACAAACGATGCTTGCTTAAGTGAAGCAGCCCACAAATCACGCACAATGACCCAATCATGAGGCTAAGTGCGGTATTGGATTGCCCTGCAAAACTAAATAAGTGAAGCAGAAAATCGAACGCACAGCGTTGAATAGAGCCCTGTGATTGGTTCATGCGTCCACGCGCACTGTGAAACCTAATAGTAATGTTTGTGAAGACAGGTGTATGATGTGTAAGTACCTTCTACCTTAAAATAAAACTATAACCTGGTCGAGTTAACTGCTCACTTGGCGGCCGTGACGTCACATCGACGCTCTGGTACGAACGGGGCGAACAAGGAAAAATGTGCGGTTGAGTGCGAGGCAGTGGCGGGGCAAGACCTAAATTTGATGTGGGCAAGACAGATTTCGCGAGGCCTTGTTCTGTGGCGACCTGAAGACGGATTTTATGAAATAATAAAAAAAACGGGTCAATGGTCTAATCATTGACAGTTTCTGATTTCTTGATTCAGTGATTATTTTTAAAGGAATTTTGCGCCAAAGAATAATGTTTGTCACTTAAAACCGTGTTGTTGCTTAATTTTGTGTCTGATCATGGCTGAATTTGTTTGAAAAAAAAAAAATTATCTACATTTTTTAGCTATCAATAATTTATATTTAATAGTCAATGTTTCAAAATTTTTGATGCGCGAGGCCCCTTGTTCCGCGAGGCCGTAGGCGGTGGCCCACGTCGCCTACGCCTTACGCCGCCACTGGTGCGAGGGAGAGTCGCATTCCAGCGAGATGCGCGGTTAACTCGATCGAGTTGTAGGTATCTAACCATAAGTGAGTAAAAAAAGAGTACAAAAATGTGCTAGTAACTTTAGTTACTTTTAAACTAAACTTGATCGTCTTTGCGTTAAAGCAATTATGTGTCTTATACCTGTTTTAACCATAAATCCCTAATTATTAAGTGACTCCTGAAAACAACATTCCTGTTATGTGTTACACTAGTAGTCACTTAAAAATTAGGGATAGATGGTGAAAACGGGCATTAGTGTAGGTAAGTCCATGGTTTATTACTTACAGTCTCCGTATGCCCCATGAAGCGAGCCCCCACAGGACACCATCGCTCACTGCTGGTGCGCCTGTGTCGCGCTAAAATACAAAAAACATGTTCAAAACGATATCGCGATGGAAAACGAAACAGTGCCATCTATAAGTAAAAACTAAGATGAAAATAGTTAGACTTAAGACTTTAGCGTATGGAGTCATTCCGTTTTTTTTTTGCAAAAAAACCGAACCTTTGTAGTAAATTGAGTTTCAAACACACATAAGTAATTATGTGATTCTGCATTAGGCCCGGTTTCACCAAGACGGACGGACGATTTTTTCCATAGAATTTGATAACGGCGCGGTGACGGCGTGACGCGGAGCGGAGTTGTGCGGAGCGGAGAAGAGAGGTGGAATTAATGAAATCTGATAGGTTATTCAGAACACTCCGCCTTGGTGGAAACCGGGCCTTACTGGATCCCGCATACTGGTTTGCCGTGCCAACGAGCCCTTAGGCCCTTTTCACATGTCCCGGTTGCCGGCTAACCGGCGCCGGGTACCCGGTGGTGAAGTGTATGGGCATGCCGGATTAATTACGCCGGTACATGTGAAAGCTACGTACCATGCCCATACACTTCACCACCGGGTACCCGGCCCCGGTTAGCCGGCAACCGGGACATGTGAAAAGGGCCTNGCATGCCGGATTAATTACGCCGGTACATGTGAAAGCTACGTACCATGCCCATACACTTCACCACCGGGTACCCGGCCCCGGTTAGCCGGCAACCGGGACATGTGAAAAGGGCCTTACCGTGCAGGGTGCCCTCCTGCCCATCTGCGACAGGCAGATGAAGTTGTCAGTCACGGTGACCCCGAACCGCTGCGTCACGTTGTTGCATTTGCCCCGGTCCATCAGACGCGTGTGGAACACTTGGAGGCTCATGTCTTTCTTGTCCACCACGCCATCTCGCTAGAAACGATAAATCAGAGAAGCATTCTAGAAATAAGTAGGTACTTTTAAGGTCGGACCGCATTTGCACGGCGCTACGCGGCCCTGCACTGCGCGTCAAAATATATATATTTGTGCGGCGCAGCCCGGCACTGCACGGCGCGACACAAAGTGTCAAATTATTCTTTTAGTCATTTTGTATGGAATGAATGAATGAATATGTATTTTGACGCGCAGTGCAGGGCCGCGTAGCGCTGTGCAAATGCGGTCCGACCTTTACATAACCATACAATGATAGATCCAAAGTCAATATGAACCACCACCAACACTACGTCTCGGCAAAGAAGGAACGCAAGATATTTGGTGGCTATGGTGTGAAATAACCAGACAAAAAGGAAAAAAATGCTACAAATGGCAAAGTTTTATACCCGCTCAGCGCCCCAACTGGTGACCCAGGCGTCCTCGAAGGCTGGCAACATCACCCGATTCGGTAAGTCTACCCCGTGAACCGAGTCTGAAAACCTAAGTAGGAAAATATGAGATTAAGACATAAGTCCTCCATTCGTAGGTACAATTCTCAAGAAAAACATAAATAAATAAGGAACTCTGATATTACTTGATGTTCCTATCCAGCAGTAACAATGCCACGTCATAGTCCGGATTCTTTCGGATGCTCCATTGGGGGTGCTTCATGACCTCCTGGATCTTGGCCGTCTGCCCGCCGTGGTCGGTGTGGCGGGACCCCGCGCGCACGCGCAGACGGCTGATACGGCTCGACCTGGTGCCAGAGTATGTTTTAAGAGTTGGTGTAACCTATTTTTATTTTTTATTTTATTTTATTAGGAAAACCAACAGCAATACAAATACAAATAATGAGATCTAAAATTATGTATCTGCTTACACATTTATAGGTAATCGCAAATGGAAGTCAAGGTGCAAATAGACCATACGCTGTTATAAGAGCAGACATTTAAAGAATTTACAATTTACAAGTGAAACAGTACTTTTTAAGCGCCGCTGGAGTGGGAGTCAAAAAAGTCTGAATTGAATAATTTATTTATAGTAGTGGGTTTGGTTCGAAATAATTCTAGATCACTATGGAGTAACTAAGCTGGCGCAGCGACCCTAAGAGAGTCTCGGCCTCCGACAAAAGAGTCTCCAATTTGGTCTTCTGTGCCATCTCTCTGCAGGAGATCGTTAATTACAAATTCGTCTTAGTCTTCGAGTTGGTGTAGGGGAGGTGAGCCCAAAGCGGGTATACCGCCCAAAGCGGGTAGCCTTCGTTATTCACGTATACAAGCCGATTGTGCACATGTGTGCGTTTCGTGGCAACGCCCGAACTTGTTTCGACACGAATCAGTTTGGCCGAAACATCGGCGACGCGTGGCGGAGCTCCGAGACGCGAATGTTTTTATTTGCCTGTTTCACAAAAAAATATCAAGATATGTGAATATGAATTACTTCATTCTGTTTAAAGTTGTGTTGAATCTGTTACTTGTGTATTATTCTGCATTAAAACAGCGTAGAATTCTTATTGTTTGAGCAACATTTCTGATAAAGATTTTGAGATTATTTTACAAAACGTGAAAAAGTATCTTTTGGGCAAAGCGGGTATGGGTAAAACGGGTAACCGCTTCTTATTCTTATTCTAATTATATATGGATACAAAAATGGTAGTTTCATAGGTAATTTTTGTTGTTTTGGATGAACAAGAATCTGAATTGATAGAAGCCTTGTTTCACATGGATAATCTTTTTTTGTTGTTGTTTTTGGTCTGACAAAATCGGATTTTTATCTCACGTATATCAATATGCAGAGAGCAATAGAATTCCGCACCCTTTCAAAAATCAAACTGCTGGAGAAGATTGGTGTAAAGCCTTTGAAAAGAGATATCCCCAACTAACATTAAGAAAGCCAAAGCCAACGTCAGTAACTCGCCTTGCCCAGTCTCGACCCGTTTTGCCCCAGGGGCCATACCCGCTTTGGGCACCCCCTGCGGGCAAACCGGGTAAAATGACCGACTGATTAGTTCTTAAATTTTTGAAGTGATTTGTTACAAGAGAAGTGATTTTTAGTTTTTATTACAAAGTTTAATACATACTTGTACGAATTATTAAAAATANACCTTGGAGGCCATTGTATAGCCTAATTCAAAACTGATCAGACTAGAATGCGTATTGCGTGTACCAAGATAAGATTTTATCGCGGTATTAGGTACCTACTAGAAATACTTTTAATAAGAGTTAAAGTATCGTGGCGAGATGGACTGACCGTCACTCTCCTATTTCTCTAAAAATCTCTATCACTATGCACGCCTTTGCACTTCTTTCCAAAAATTGCAAAATACCTAACCTGAATTACTTCCGTAATACTTACTTCCAAACACAGTTAGCTGTGGTGATGACCAGCCGAGGGTTGAGGAGGGCCCCAGCACACCAGTGCTCGCTATTCTTCTGTATCGACACCACGTAGGGGTAATCTTCTATCAAGGCGTCCCTCGCTGCTATCAACCTCCTGGCTTCGCCAACTACAAGGGAAGGGACAAGTGAAATAAAACCACTTATTTGTGCGACTCTTTATTTACAACTTTTCTCTACCTACCTTCTTTTGCCTTTTTCGAATGCCCATCGCCGCTCGTTGGTTTATGCCTTTTATTAACAGACTTCTTATCTCCTGACCTGGTTATATTTTTGTCTGCGGATCTAGTTTTATTTTTATGACCCCTCTTCGAACGTTTAGTGTATTTCAATTGTTTCGGCTTCTTCCTGATCTTGGTTCCATTGCGACTCCTATTCATTTGGTTCTTTAATTTTCTAGATTTAGTCTTCGTAAGAGTGTTATTCCGTGATTGCCTTGCTTTGGCATTTCTTTTCTTTTTAGCGGATTTGCTTCTTTTCTTTTTCTTGGGAGCAGATTTAGTAGGTTCAACTTCTGTTTTATTGTTATTGTCATCTTCTTTCAGATTCAGTTCGATTACTTTTGGGCGAAGGTCAGATGATCTTTTCCTTCTTACAGCACCGATGACATAGTCAGGTAGGACTTTTTTGACTCTGACCCTCTGTTCGTTAGTGTCTATAGGGAAGTAGGGACTCTCAGGAACAGGGTAGAGTTTTTTCTCGGCCGATCCGATAGCAGGGAAGGCTGTATATCCCTTGTTGATTGGTGCTGGTCTTTTTGGCTGCGGCAAGGGTTTTGAATTCAGGAACTTTCTGGAAATGACTATTTGCAAATTCTTCTTCGGGAGTTGTTTGGAGTAGGATTGGACGAATGCCTTAGCCGGCTGCTGGTCTTGAGATATAACATCTTGTAAATGGACGAAAAGCAGTACAAATGGTACAACCTTCATGTCTTGGTGCCGACATGAAGTGAAATCATGAAAGAAATATTAATAGCTGTTTTACGACTGTTTTGATGGCGCTCGGCAAATGGATCGATAACTTTTGTATTTTCGATGAAATTCGCATTATGTGTTTTGTAATCTTCTACGTTTATGAAATTGCTTTGACGTTATTAAATGTTTGATCATAATGATAAGCAGATATTAATTATTTAAAAAATAATAAAAGACTATGCTTCTTTTTACAATTAGTTTATTTACTTAACATTTCCTAATATTTACATAGAAATAACAAACTCTACGTTTAAATCAATCAATTCTAATTAATAATTTAATAGAAAAGTAGGTATAATCTACAATATTTTATATTAGTTATTTGGTGCAGTACCTATCTGTGAGAGGGGTTTTGGTCCGAGGATAGTCATGTGTGGTAATTTTAAACACAAGTAAACACACTTTGAGATTTCGGTCCTATAATCTGCTAAACAGTGCTGCTTTTAAAGAGATCTTGTTGGTGGTGAGTCATTTTGTCATTAGCAGTTGCCAATTTGTTATCAAGATCTGTGGGTTTGATTCTATCTTCAGCTTATGCCGTCTAGGTGGCCAGCTGCACGGCCAGCTGGACAGCCAGCTGGTACCTTCGTTTTTTGGGTGAGGAGGTACAATATAAAATAGTAGTTTTGGTCGTTTTATTATTTTTTCTTTGTCATTTCTGCTTCAGTCCTTCGGCGCGATCTTCTTGTAGGTGGCCAGCTGCACGACCAGCTGGTACAGGACCTTCGTTTTTTGGGTGAGGAGGTACAATATAAAATAGTAGTTTTGGTCGTTTTATTATTTTTTCTTTGTCATTTCTGCTTCAGTCCTTCGGCGCGATCTTCTTGTAGGTGGCCAGCTGCACGACCAGCTGGTACAGGACCTTCGTTTTTTGGGTGAGGAGGTACAATATAAAATAGTAGTTTTGGTCGTTTTATTATTTTTTCTTTGTCATTTCTGCTTCAGTCCTTCGGCGCGATCTTCTTGTGTGTAGCCAGCTGCACGACCAGCTGATGCAGTATATTATAGGTAGGTCATATGAAACGTTATGAACTAGACTAGAGAACTTTGGTTTTTTGGGATACTTGTGGATTTAGTTGTGTCCAATTTTAGTGCTTCAGTCCTTCGGCGCGATCTTCTTGTATGTAGCCAGCTGCACGGCCAGCTGGTGCAGCAGCTGCTTGGCGGAGGGCGCGTGCTCGGGCGCGTGCTCGGCGCGCGACAGCCGCACGACGCGCCCGCACTCGCGCACGTAGTATTCCAGCTCGTTCTCGATTTGACGACCGTCTCCTGGAGAAGAAGAATAGAATCTCAAAGTTTTTGATAATGGAGTAACGTCCGTCCATCCTCACAAACTTTGGTAGCGTAAAAGTTCTCGGGCTGTTTGCCGTCTCAACCAAATGTCGTCACTACAGACTGTAGTCAGGCTGTAAAGGTCTCCCTCATTGATTTCCACAACGACTGGTCTCGCGCTGCCCACATTCAGGGGTTTTCAGCCACCTTCGCTAGATCCTCGCATCGGCCTCGGCCAGCCTGTCTAGCCTACACTACGCTTTCTGGTCCGGGGTCGCCACTCAAAACTTTTCTGCCCTAACGGCCATCAGTTCTAAGATAGGCTGTTTAGAAAGCATTACCAGTTTATGTACTGACCTTGGCCCATTCTAGTACCAGGCGGCTGCAGACACTTGTTGGTGAGGCGCGCCAGTTGTGACCGCTCCGAGCTGAAGGCTTCATCCAGGTCGAACAGCTCCAGGGGTGGAGGAGGTGGCTCGCGGAACGTTGGAGGGAACACCTGGGTAGAACAATAGATACCTTAGCTCAGATGATTCCTGTGACACTTATCAAAAATCTTAACTTATCCGCATTACGCACCCTTTTTAGAGATATTGAACTCGAGTCGGTGTCTCCTCGAAAGAATGTGCGATCCCCGCGATACTCGAAAGGGCCTATTGGCGCAGTGGCAATGTATTTTTCAAATTACGTCGATGAAGAGATTTGTATTCTTAAGTTCTTAATAACAAAATTATGTATTTCTAATATTGGGTCATTCTATAACATTGTAATTGTAACATCCTATTCCATCATAAGATCCCATAGTTCGATATATCGCATGCCATACTTACGGCAAGTTGTAGCGGCGGAAAAGGAGTCTCGAATTGCGGCGCGATAAGTCGCAGGGGCTCGTGCTTGACCCCCAGCGCGTCATACAGTCCTAGTACTTCTGGCACTAAAAATTTATGACAAAGAATAGATTATTTAGTTTAAACAAAGGCAGAACGTACAGGGTTAAAAATTAAAAAAAACTATGCTAATGGCATCAAAATGGGACACTCAGCATGTCTTCCCACCGCTGTAACTCATGTGTAGCCAGGATCTACAGCTTGACCGCCAATAAAACAGCCAATAAAGGCTAAGTTTGTCTCGAGGGAAGGTTAAACTGTCATTGGACCTGCATTGAAATTCATCACATTACGTCTTCGCCTCCCGTGGTCGCCACGCCACTCGAGAACTTTCTGTCCAAGGCGTCATGGCAGGCCCCTCCCTAGGTGGAGCGACGATCTGATGAAGGACCTGGATGAGGGCAGCGCAGGACCAGTCGTTGTGGAAATTCTCGGAGGCGGCCTTTGTTCAGCAGTGGACGTCATTCCGGCCCGTGGTCGCCACTCGAGAGCTTTCCTACCCCAGCAGCCATCAGCTCTACGAGGCATGTGCCCCTCTATGTCGGTTACTTACTTTGGTTTTCCTGTGAATTCCTAATTTCTGATTCGACGCAGGGAAACTCCGAGCATAGCACGCATACTATTGGCCTCATAAGAAAACTCAAGGTCACCCAAAGAGCGATGGAGTGTGCTATAAATCAGATACGTGATCAGTTACATCAGTAAAATATCGTGCAGAGTCCGTCTCTACAGTCAACGTGAACTCCTCGTCGTGACTGCTCAGCCAAGAGAGAAACGACTGGGAAGAAGAAAAAGAAACGTACACTGGGCCAGGTTGAGTGAGAACAGCCTCCAAGTGAACAGAGAGAACTTGAGATTTGATGCCACGGAGATTCGAACCGGGAACCAAGCGGCTAAGCTGATGGGCTGCCCACCTCGCAATGCAATAGGCCACCGAGCTACCTATACGTATGTTGAGCTTAGTTGGGTGAGAACAGCCACATCGTGTCCCGGGTGCGGTATAAACCAGCTCGTTTCAGTCAAATGACGTCCACTGCTGGACAAATGCAAGTACGTACACTGGGCCAAGTTGAGTGAGAACAGCCTCCAAGTGAACAGCGCGTGTAGATGCAAGAGACCTGGGAGGTCATTGTATGTCATTTCTGCTCAAGGCAGAATGTAAACTGCATAAAGCAATTAGTCGTCAAGGAAAAAATTGAAAAAACCCGATCGCGTGACAGGTCAGCTATGCGCTTGACTGACAAAGTGAAATCCTCAGTGGAAATCGCGTAGGTATGACAATATATGAAATAGCGATAAGACCGCCTAATTGTACCTTGTGTGTTCCTTTTCTTCTGTTATGTTATTTGTTTGGTGTGCAATAAAGTGTATTTATTTATTATTATTATTATGACTGCACCAGGCAGTCTGCCAACAGGGAGAGATGGCGAGATCGTGTGGAGAGCTTGCCTTACCACGACTATTCTGCCAAGAGCAAACGACTGAGAATAAGAAGAAGAAACTTACACTGGGCCAGGTTGAGTGAGAACAGCCTCCAAGTGAACAGCGCGTGCGGATGCAAAGGATGCAGCCTGGGAGGCGGCGCGGTGGCAGGCTCCGGCCACGGCACCATGCTCAGCCACATCGTGTCGCCCAGGGTGCGGTACTCGTTCACCTGGAATCATCATCATCATCATCCCTACGGCTGTAGCAATACCGTCAATACGTCAAGGTATTAGTAGACCTACATCTCTAATTTCTCAGAGGCAAATGATCGATTTAGCCTACACTCCCCTACGTTGGCTAAATGGTTTGGAGAGCCTTTATGTCCCTTAGTCTTCTCTTACGACATCCACAGAAAAAGTGGGCGTTTTCCTATTTTATTCTGCCGGAACCACATGGGTAAATATTTCTTCATTATCATTTTAGCCACAAGACGTCCACTACTGTTGAACATAGGCCTCCCCCAATTATTTCCAGACTGGCCATTTGGTAGCGGCCTGCAAGCAGCGCCTTCCTGGAACTGTTACGTCCTACGCTGCGCTTGCCGTTACGTGGCTTCCATTCCAGAACCTTGCTACCCTATCGGTTGTCAGTTCCGCGTGTTATGTGCCCTACCCATTGTCACTTCGTCATGCTAATCCGTCGGCCTATGTCAGCGACTTCAAGTCAGTCTACTATCTACTACCAACACCACCAGGCTGTTTGTATACATGTGCTTACATCAGGATCCTCAACATCCACCGGGTTGAGGTGCAGGTCTGACGCGCCGCCGAGCTGGCTGAACACCATCTCGCGGATCAAGTCGTTGCACTCGCACTCCAGGTACTGGTCCGCGAAGAAATGGCCGGAGCCTATCACGAAGAGCTTGCCTGAAAAATGTATTTTATTAGATAGAGATATTTTTTCCACCGCTGGGCTAAAAAGTGTTCTGCCCTTTCAGATAGAGTTTGCCTTCTCATTGTCCTCGATTTTTTCAAATCGTGTATTCTACTTTTAAGTACTAGATTACATCAAGCATTTTTTAACTAGGCATATCATAAAAAAAACATGATTGTAAATAATGTAACAAATGACGGTAGTGAAGGATAACAAGCGCTCGCCGCTCATTTCGTGTCAAGCTGTCGAACGCAACGGACGTGATTTCTGCAGTGTTTTTTTTTAACGTGTGATCTGATAGTATTATTTTACGTCAGAAACAAATCTTTATTAATTGTTGTTGGATCATATCAATGCAAACATATTCGTGACAGATACATTTTCGTGATCGTTTAGATTTAACTGTTGCACTTTTTAAGTTTAATATGAGGTAGCAGCAGGGTAAAATCATCCCGAACGTTCTTTGTGGACTGTGATCTGTAAATGGTGGCATGATGGTGTTCTTTGCTGTCAAAACTTGATGGTGTTACCTCCACTCCTCTCAGAAGTGTACAGAGCAGCCACCGGCCTCTTCACTGGGTAGCAGACATCGCTGGTTGACAGCAGAGCCGCAGCCGGCTTCTTGACCGTGAGCGTCGCGCCATACGGGTACACGAAGTTTGGAGTCGCTGGGTCTTCACTGATGATGGGATTGAAGGTTAGTGGTATTCTAAGAGTTCTATCGGAAGATTTAGGGACTATTATTAGTTGTAAAAATGTCTTGTTATCAAATCTGCTGAGCAGTTGCGGTCTCACACGGAAAAGTTAAATTAACATTGACTGAATAAGTATCTTTTATTGGTTAATATTTGAAACTTTTATTTTATTGTCATCATTTTCATCGTGACCACGTGAAAAGCCAGTGTAAAGTGGGTGACTTCAATTTGCACTGGCTGTTAAAGGTAAGGTACCTACTCCTGTTTTCGTTTCTTGGATCTCGTGACAGTTAAAATTTACTCTGGGACAAACTGAGTTTATTCAATACTTTTTATTGGTGGTCATAAAGAAGTAAATCCTAGCTAGCTACACAGGAGTTGCAGCAGTAGGAGTGAGTGAGAGTTGGTATTAGACCCATTGTTCTTACACTGGACTTACATGAATAGAACTGACGTGATTTTTTATTTTATTTAGGTATGTAAAGTTGATGATTACATAAGAGATAAAAATGTTTGGAATGTTTAACTACCTAGCTCGCATCAATACTTAAGTATGACTATAATTTGTATATTTTAAAGACTGTAAACCCTTGAAAAGGAGGCTGAAAATAGTGACCGAGTTTCTTGCGCTGCTTCTTCTCAGCACTGGCCCATTTATTGTCCCGAAGCAGTGGTAGGGTTAATATCGGGACGTGTAAAAGTGCTTTTTAAAAGCCTATTTGTAAAAATAAATGAGTTTTATGAGTTTTTATGCATTAGTATGCATGCATAAATATGCATTAAGTACCTAGTAAAGAGCAGATATTTTTATTTTACTTTTGTCTTTCATTACCTACTCTCATAAACAAACACTATTTAAAGAGTGTACTCACATATAGTCGTCAGACTCGCTGGTATAGTTGGGCATCTTCATGAGGTACTTGACGACGGCTCGGTTGAGGATCCCGGAGGAGATGTGGCACTCCTTGGGGTGGTAGAACTTGTGGTATTTCGCGCGGACTACGCAGTCTGCGGAGAAATTTGTAAAATAAAGAAATAAAAATAACACTGTTTCTGGCGCAATCGGGTAAAAAGCGGGAAATGGGTTCAGTTAAGATTTCGGGTTTATTTCGTGGCTCAAGAGGAATAATTTGAACACAAGTAATCTGGACATAAACGGTCAGTTAAAATGATCAGCTGTTTAATTTAGAGTTACCTACTATAAACTGTTAATCTTTCAAAGAAAATGGAAGTCAAATCACACGGAATCGCCCATGTTATCAGAGTCTTTTGGCACGGACTAACGCCCGTATTCACAAACGAACTTTTGCTTAAGTGAAGCAGCAAATGAAGGTTCGTGTGTCACCCTGTGCGTCCACGCGCACTGTGAGACCTCATAGTAATTTTTGAGAATACGGGCGTAACTCTGTGCCCACCAGCATGGACCCCTTCCGTATCCATCGGATATGGCATGGTAGGCGCCAGGACCCCCTACGCCATAACCTAACGCCATGTTTCAACTACTTAAATGGTACAACTACTTACTTAATAGATGAAAGGTCAATTCGTATTTAAGCATACTTAAGTAATACCTACCATTGTTAACAACAATCCCATACTCCTCCAGAAAGAAGTTAATATTAGTATTCATCCTCTCCTCCCCCCCGTCGGTCATGGCTACCAGAACCGAGTCCCCTCTCTCTACCATGCCCTTCAGGCAGGCCAGCTCATCATCAGTGAACGCGTTCTGAGGCCCAGCCACTACCAGGATCTTCACGTCTTGCAAGATGTTTTCGGAGAGCTCGTCACGGTTGCTAGAAAAATTATTTCAGTTATTTAAAATACTAGCGGCCTGCCCCGGCTTCGCACGGTTGCAATGGAATTTCCCGGCTTTTCTCTTCTATAGCACACTTCAAAATTCAAAATCTTCAGAAAAGAAGACAGTTGCTGGATCTGTACTTCTTACACAAAATTATTCATGCCTCCTTTGACTGTTCCTTTCTCTTGGAACAAATTAATTTTACAATTACGCGTAAGCATATTAGAAGCACGCGATTTATTAAACCTTTTTCTCCTAAGCCTTACAGGAGTAATCTAGGACACTATTCACCTATGGACAGACTTCAGGATCAATTCGGAGTATTAGCTAAGTGTAGTGATTTGAATATATATGTTACGGTCAAAGTGATAAATGTGAAACTTATGAATAATCGCCGGTTATTATGAATAATTACCGCATGATTTGGTAAATGTGATTAATATGAGGTCATTTAAGTGTGTATAAAACTAAATAGGCGGCTTAGGGGTGGCCCAAGGGCCACCCCCGCCGCACCTTAACCTATTTTTCACTTTAAATCAAAACATTATGTTATGGTCATCATAGAAAAGTAATATTATGCAAGAAACATTCCAAACTCATTATGCCAAATTATATTAATATATGATATCAAAACGTTCAAGTTTGGTTGTACACGAGCACGTACACAAGATGTGGTTCTCTTTTATGAAATTTGTTACCTACTAAGGTTGAATTATTAAATAATCACTGTTAAATGTGATTAATTTATCACTTTTACCGCGACTGCCGGTAATTATTCATAATAACCGGCGATTATTCATAATTTTCACATTTATCACTTTGACCGTAACATATACACAAAGTTTAGTACTTTTAAAACTTGTGTTAATGATGTTCTAAATAATCATAGTTGTGGTTCCTCATTTTCGTAAAATGTTCGTAATATTTCGCTATCTACATTCATAGCTGTGCATATTGTCATCTTTGCTGGTGTTTATGCTTTCTTTTCTGGGTTTACTGGTTTACTTTCTGGTTTTTACATTTCAGTCAGCGGTCTGATATCAAACTGCATTTAAATATTATATTCTATATTCTACCTTCAGTCACTATTATCTAAGACATGCAGTTGATATGCTGGATTCCTGGCTTGAATTGAATTCTTATATATTAACACAAAAATTTAATTGAATGTAGTTCAATTAAATTTTTGTGTTTTTTAATTTTTAATTTAGTCGATACTACGCTTCCACGCAATCTATGCACATGTCGTGGCAGCTTTTAATTAAGGCTACACTATAAACATGTATTGTTTTCAATGTTTTTTTTTCCTGTTAATTGTGTATGTCTTGTTAGCAGTCCTTAAATAAATAAATAAATAAATAAATAGCATGTTTTATACCTATAGACCTTGCTCTTGAGTCACTCTATCTATTAAAAAAACGCATCAAAATCCGTTGCGTGGTTCTAAAGATCTAAGCATTACATAGGGACAGACAGCGGAAAGCGACTTTGTTTTATACTATGTAGTTAAGTAAGGCCTAGGTAATTTGTTATTAAAATTTTTATTGAAAAAATCTTGAAAAAATCGAATCGCTGGGTAGGAATCGAACCCACGACATTTCGTCCTTATTTAAATGTGTTCGCCCTTTCCTTGAGTAACTAAACTGAGAACCTTGTATGAACAAGGTAACTTCGACGGTCCCTACGTATAAAAACGTATCTGAAAACGGCCATTTTTACAGGAGAGCGGTTTGAAGGTTTAAACATGTGTAGCTCGCGTTCTATTTATCATACATTGATGAAATTTGGTATAATAGTTTTATATGAGGTATATTTTATAAAACATGAAGAATTATCAAAAAATAATCACAATAAGTGTATTATTTGTCATTTACTCACTTATACAACGGAAAGTTTCTAATTACAAATTACGTAAGTGGTACTTACTAACTTTTACGTCGGAGTAATATATTTGTTTAAATTATTAACTGCCACATAAGTAATTGTACACGGGAACAAAGTTCAGCTACTACTGACCGTAACTCTTACTCTAGGCCCATAAGTCCTGCTCGACGAGGCATAACAGCGTCCCGCCTCGTTTTCCAGATAATTGCATTTTAGAGGCACTCAATACCTTAAGATTCTTCCTCATCTAAGGGGTCTTTTGACTGAAGAAAACTTGTAGAACCGGTAAATTTTCTTTGTCAATAGTGCCAGGTTTGACGGCATGGCATCGAGTCCAAAGACCCACATGGCTCTTTTTTGAGTTAGATCTTGTGGAACATTGAATACAACTGGGTACTAAATGGAACCCTTTTCAAGGCACGGATATTTCAAGGTATCTGTCATGCAGATAGTTTCATCATTACAAGAATATCCTCATAAATAAATAAATAAATAACTTTCACAGCGAGGCGGCTTGCCTGGGCGCCACAGACGGCATTATGGTCGCCCTAGGCCAGGGACCACATATATTTAAAGGCATCCCTGACACCTTCACTTGACGCCCACACCACTGTCAAAACTAAGGCCCAGATCAAATATCTAAGAGCTATCCTGTTAATCACCAGTGGCGCCAAGTAGTGAGCGCAAATACGGTGACCTTATGTATATAGCCAGTGGCAGCTCGCACTTTTTCCAATCCATCGCCGTGCGAATGGAAGACAGCTTGCTTTTTCGTGGCTGCTTCCCTAATTTGGAGGTCCGAAAACTCTATGTCGGAAGGCTATGGAGAAAGGCCAGGAGCTCTATACTGGTACCCTCAAAAGCATGATTCTGTCCCATCTAAGGCATCACCTTCATAGGGAAGTGTAACGCTGCCCATCTTCTAAGACCTTAACAGGCCCAGAAAGTCTACAGGGCTACATCGTCGGCTTTAACGCAGCGTGAAGAACGAGGTCAAAGCTCCGTCATAGGAGGACAGAGAGGCCGTTTGACGTGAGACTCGCTAGACTGTGCTGTAGTCTAATAGTTGATAAACCACCTCGCCGTGGGCCGTGGCTAAGTTGGGTCGCCGAACCTTATTCGCACTCGTGCTGAAGTTTAAGGTTGCTCTAGCGATCGCATCATGACTGGGCACGGATCCTTCGAGCCCTACCTGTATTGCGGTGGCTAGGAGCATACGACACACCATATATTCTTGCAGGATAGCATAGTCAAAGCTATGTGGACGGTAACAAAAGTTGGGTGGTAATGAAGCACCTCTATCTGAGAAGACAAGGTGCCGCAAGAAGCTGCAGTACGATAGCGCGACTACGAACCAAGTGCGGGTGCATTTGAATTCGCTCCAGGGAAGGTGACAGTATGATTGCCTCCTATCTTCCTTCCTCGGTAATGGACAGCGTAACGGGGGCGTGAGGCCGCACGGAAGGCATTGCATAGATAGGCCACCACCACCGTCTGCTGACGGTGAGTGTGTGTACGGAAAAGCTGTGTACTTCCAGTTGCTCTCGTCCCAACTGTCGCCGTGTAGGTGGGAGATCTTTGTCCGGAATCTCAAAGTTAGCACTTATAGCGAGTGACGGGGCACCAGGGTATTTTTAGTGGGTATACCTCATCCTTCTGACGGGTATATGTTTGCAATATCATGTAAGCATTATCATGTAATAGTAGATTCTAAATGCAGTTAATTTAAANATCAAAATAGGTACATGTCCCAAACACATGTTTCGTAACAATCGAAGTCATAACAAAAGAGCTACTATTTGCATGCTCTGTGCTCTACACTACTCTGTAAAGGATTGACAAACACACATTTGACACTTGACAGCTACGATAAAGCAAAACGCCTGTTGATTTCTTCACGGCAAAGTTTTTTTTGGAAAATCAAAAAATCTCAACATCAATGCATTAATACCAAAAACGACAAAGGGGGCGACCTTCAAAATATTTATTTGAACATTTCCATATAAGAATTATTGCTTCATACGTTAAATTAACAAAGTTCTCGAAGAAATAAAATTTCCATACGTCTCCATTTTAAATGTTGTTTATTAATTTTTTACGTATTTATTTAAAATTTCGAAAAGGCGGCGACCTAGATCAAGGATTGGGCTACCCTACACAAGTTCCTTTGATGTATTTAAGCCATTATTCGCAGAGCACTCGTGATTTAAAAATATGTCAATTTTAAGGATTCTGTGCAGGACCCCCTTAACTGAGCCGAAACTGTTGGGTGCTCTGAAGGTTTTGCAAACAAAAACGGCAAATCACGGAACTGGTAGATACTGAATTATACGTAGGGACCGTCGACTTGTCACTAGAGATGAAACGGATAGTTGTTTGGCCGGATACCGGATACCGGATATCCGGCCAGCTGTTAGGCCGGATAGCCGGATATCCGGCGGCCGGATAGTTGGCCCATTGTCTCGTTTCATGTCGTGACGAGTTTAGCGCCGCACAGGTGCTTCGAAAGCGATCAGTGGGTCTATTAGTAGACTAGACTAGTCACACTTTTCGAAAATCGAATCTGTCCGAATAGAATGTCAGATTTTGCCACTTTTCTAGGGGGCAGATCAATTCGAGCGATTTCGTTTGCTTTCGTGAGGGTGTGATTGAATAGCGAAAATTAAATTAGTTTACTTGCTGCGTAATCTGACTGAACTATATGCATCATGTCATCAAACCATCAGTGAAAAAAAGATCGCCTTTTTTATTTGGCAATATTTCGACATTAACAGATATTATTTACTACAGGGTGGCCCAGAAGAAAATTCACTTTTGAAAATTTAATGAAACGAAAACTGTACATTTTTGTAGAACTTTAACTATTGCAATTTAAAGGAAATTTAGTGCAATTAATTTTAAAATTTACTTCCTTTAAATAAATTTTATTGTACATGTGATTCCCTTGACGTTTACAATATTCGGTCAACATAGCTACATCAAAATTTTGGAAAACTTTAGTTAGAGTTACCTCGAAATGGATTCAGGATGGATGAATGCTGCAGAGTTTTTGGATTATTAGAGTATACTCTGCTCATAAGGTAACCCCGCAAAAAGAAGTCTGCTGGAATGAGATTAGCGCTTTTAAGAGACAGTGAGATTTCATCCCTGCTTAATTGGTTTATTGCATTGAAGGGATGATTAATTTTTGAGAATGTTATACTGGTAGGCTGAAAAGCTTTTTGATTTTTAAAGCTGCAAGATTCGCTAGGCTATGACCGGAGCACTTGGTTTCACCAAGACGATGGGGCTACGTGTCACACTTCAAATGAGAGCATTTAGATGGTAAAAGACATGTTCCCACAAAAAATAATTTCAGGCAGGGGTGACATCTCCTGGCCACCAGGAAGCCCTGATCTCACTCCAGAAAATTCTTTTTTGTGGTGTTACATTGAGGATAGAGTATACTTTTATAATCCAACAAACATGCAGCAACTGAGCATTCAGCAAAAAATTGAAAATAGGTTTCGAGGTAATTCTAACGAACGCATTTTAAGATTTTGATGTATGTTGATCGAATGTTGTAAGCGTCAAGGAAATCTCCTGGGCGATGTAGTTTAATAAAGGTACATTTAAAAATAAATTGCTTTAAATTTCCTTCAAATTGCAATAGTTAAAGTTCAATTAAAATGTACAGTTTTCGTTTCCTTCAATTTTCAAAAGTGAATTTTCTTCTGAGTCAACCTGTATTTATGTATTCGTCATTAGATAGAATAGCCCAGAAAAAGAAACTAGTTTTTTGAAAGGCTTTTTGAAGAATGGCTTTTTTGTAACTTTTTGGACTTTAAATAAAAGCCGTCATTATTATAAGCCATTTTATTGATATTTATCTCAAAGATTAATGTATTTCATTTTATTAATAGGAAATTGTCGTAGTTTTTTAATATCCGGTATCCGGCCGGATAGTGAGTTACTATCCGGTATCCGGCCGGATAGTAAATTTAGGCCGGATATCCGGCCTACCGGATAGTTGCCGGATATCCGTTTCATCTCTACTTGTCACTTTCATTCTCATCTAGTTCAGACGAGCTGGGAATCGAACCCTGGAGTTCTGGTCGGACTGGTTAAGCATTAATCCACGATATTTACAAGTTTATTTGTAATTAAATTACATAATAGGTTTAGAATAACGTAAAATACACACTCACATCATAACTTTCCACGTGGTCTTCAATTTTCTATGCAGCATTTTGTAGTTTTCGTTGATTTTGAACAATTCATTTTTGGACACGTCGAAAAGTATCGTATTTACTATTGTCTTCATTACTTTATATTATTTTAATAAACTTATCACACAAATACAAGTATTCTACGCAATGCATAAAGTTTGTTTTCTTGTCATTGTCAGTTCGTTGCTAGGCAACCGTTTATTTGTGTCATTCTTGTCATAGATTTCAAAGAGTATCTATGTTGAAAATATCAATAAAAAGGTTGTATGTATTAACACAAAGTCAATCTTAAGGTGAGTATAGACTAGAGCACTTGCTTGTAACAGAACAACTTGACTTACTTGACTTATGGTCCTATGTCCCCTAGATGGGGCAGAGGGCGTCCACAACAGTCCTCCATCGCGTTCGGTCTTGAGCTATGTGTTTGATCTCGCTCCAAGTCTTGCCGATCTTCTTCGCCTCGTCTGCCACAGTGCGCCGCCAAGTTTGCTTGCAGCGACCACGTTTGCGTTTTCCTTGGGAGCTCCAATCCAGAGCCTGCTTGGGGATGTGATCGGGATCCCTTCGGAGAGTGTGGCCAATCCAGTTCCACTTGCGGCGCTTGATCTGCTGGTCGATCGGAATTTCGTGGCAGCGTTCCAATAGCTCGACGTTGGAGATTTTCTCAGGCCAGTATATGCCGAGAATTCGGCGAAGGCAGCGGTTGACGAAGACCTGCAGTTGGTGCGAGATGACTTTGGTGACCTTCCACGTTTCACACCCATAGAGCAGCACGGATTTGACGTTGGACCCGAAAATTTTGATCTTGACCCTTCGGGTCAGTTTCCGTGACTGCCATACGGGGCGAAGTTGTGCGAAGGTGGCTCTAGCCTTGGCAATGCGCGAAGTGATGTCCTCTTCGGTACCTCCAGTCTCTGACACGACGCTCCCGAGGTAGGTAGAATTGTGGACACGTTCCACATCCTCTGCACCAATCCGTAATGGTGTGCAATTCCTCACTCCAGATCGCATCTCTTGGGTGTTCCGGCAGTTAATTTTGAGCCCCGTGATGCCCGCCTCTCGATGTAGGTCAGATAACAGAACAACGAGCCGCTCTAATCTAGTGTTTTCACCCTTTCACGAACAAAACAAGTCTTTCGTCGTCATTTTACTAATATTTTACCATTCATAAGAACGTTAAATTACATAGAAATGCTCTAGTTCTACTCACCTAGAGTTCGAAATGGATAGGGATTTTTAACATCTTGTATGAATGAAACTTGAAAATAGTATACTTATTTCATACTATAGTCTGGTCCGTGAGCACGTAGAATTTTGTCCAATGACCCCTAGCTACCCATCCTTATCGCTCGCGCGTAATTATGTTGCTATCGCGCTCGCACACTCACTGCGGGTGCCAGTCGCACAGTCGCGACAGCAATATAATTACGCGCGAGCGATAAGGATGGGTAGCTTGGGGTCATTGGACAAAATTCTACGTGCTCACGGACCGGGCTTTAGTGTGGTTACTGTCTCAGCAAGAGACCTCTAAGAGTAGGCGCACACCGTTGATTTTTAGTTGGCCGATAGTTGTGCCCGATTTCAAATTGTATGAAGAACCGGCCAAATTGACGCGGCGTAGTGTGCGCACTCCCATACATGCCCATACTGATCAACAGCCCGACTAAACTATCGGCCGACGAAAAATCAACGGTGTGCGCCTACTTTAAGAATTACGAATTCATAATTTGGGAATAAAATAAAATGCATAAATTGTCAAATAATATAATTTTATTTACAACTCGAATAATCATAACTTCCGAATCAAAATTCGTATTCAATTAGAATAAGAATAAGCCATTTCTATCCTATGCCTAGGACTTTATTTACAAACTTCCATCTCTAGACATTTTAAAGTAATATTGCTATTTTCCGTTAAAAACATTTCTAAAGATTTCCACATAAATTAAAACTAAGTTGACATACGCCCGTATTCACAAACATTACTATGAGGTCTCACAGTGCGCGTGGACGCACAGGGTGACACACGAACCAATCACAGAGATATATTTAACGCCGCGCGTTCGATTTGCTGCTTTACTTAAGCAAGTATCGTTTGTGAATACGGGTGTAAGTTGACATGAAGTCCGCCATTGTAGAAATCATGGACCTCAATTAATAAGAAATAATTACTAAAATGATATGAGTTAAGTTACAATAAATATAATTTCGACACCACAGCCAAAACATTTGTTTTTTTCAATATTTGTACATGTAAATAAACAAAAATATTTGGAACAATATAAAAAACTTGCGCTAGTATATTAAAGTTGTACTGAGTAATTAATTAACTAATTGATCCTAAATTACATACATAGCAGAGGTACTTTGAAAGAAGGTTTGTGATTGTGCATTAGAACGCCAAAACTCAAAAATGTGCTTAAATGAAACCATTTTAAGTTACAATTTACAATGGCTTTACTGTTTTTTTTGTCAACATATTACTGTTTACATAATACGTCGACAAATAAATAAATACTGTTTTTTGAAACAGCGCCTCTGGCGGAGAAAAGGTGTAAGTTTTCCAAAAAAGAAAATATTTTGAAAATAAGCATTGGTTTTGTGGTAGATTTTAAAATAGTTGTGCTATAATTTCACTGCGGGCAGTAGTGTTTCGTATTGTTATAAAAATTGTTTGAGTGTAAACTATTACAAAAAAGATTTTCGAAAAGATATAAGTAGGCCTTTTATGAAACTATAGAGGACTCTCTATTTTTAATACTTGTTTATTTGAGACTTATTGCAGTGGAAAATAATTGTGTAAATGAAAAAAATCTATTAGGCTGTAAAAAATGAAAATATGAATATTATAAAAACAAGACACTAGAGCGCCCTCTATACTTAAAACAAGAATTTAAAAAATAAAAATATCAACTCTGAGATTAACTATAAATACATTTTCACTAAATATTACTAAATGTATGTCTGTACATTGCGTAAAATATAAAACTTATGTAATAGGAATGAACTTACAATGTTTCGTAGATGTTTCTACATAACATAGTATTTACATAAACAATTTTAGTTCTTCGTAGATTTTGAGCTAACTTTGAGCTTCATAAACTAAACGATAGTTTAAATTAACTAAAATAATGGCTTAGAAATAAATCGTGTACTTTATAATAGCCATTTGATATGATGTTTATAACTAAAAGTTTACGTTCAGAAAAGTTGTCTCAAAAATCGTATCACACTTTTTCGTTCAAATGTATTTCAAACTCTCCTAAATTCTTTATTTAAGTTTTTATAAGAGCAGCTTCTTTAATTGTTTATAATAAAATAATTCATTTGTTTTTTGGAAAACTGCAAAAGTTGTAACGGCCTTTTTCAATGTAATTTTATGATCTCAGATAAAAACGTTGTAAATTATCTTCGTAAAATGCCAAACCTACTTAAAATAAAGGTCAAAAGTACTAGAGCGTCAGACGATCTAGGAGTCACTAGCGCTGATACAAACATCATTCAAAGTATTATCTAAAAAATCAAGGCCATTCTTGTTTCTTTTATCTTCCGTCACACAGTCGCTTCTTTTTGTAATGTTTTTGAATTTTCTAACAGTAACAACCATTTTTAAATGAGAATGGCATTTACACATTTTTGGTTGAATAGTATTTTGATCAGATTTTCTATTGTTTACTGTGCAAAATTTCTTAACAAACTGAATCTGAAGTACCAGGCGGCCATAAACACATAGGAGGAGCTCGATCCATTCGCACGTTTGCACGTCGCAACAAAACCGTGTACCAGGGCAGCAGCAAATCATAAGAAGCCCATATCGAGCGCGTTGTACAACGCAGCTATGTCAGAATGGCTGGACACCCTCCAAAAGGGATAGTTCTTGGCCTTGGCAGCCGCTTCTTCGTCTTGGCCGTCGCCTATTACTACGTACGTACACCGTTCGCCGAAACGCTGCTTTATTTTCTCGAAGCATGTTTCTTTGCCTGTGAATTAAATGTAGGATCATTACTAAAATGATTGACGAAAAATATCGTTTAAATAGACTATTGTAAAATGATAAATTTGTAAAAAATATTGCATTAAAATTATTCAAATAAAGAAAATAAAAAAACAAATGTTATAAAAATATCTTATAATAATCTTCTACAAAGTGTCGAAGTATGTTGATGTCAAACAAAAAAAAATCTATGGCTCAAATGCAACTTTTTTTCAAGAAAAGGAAGTTTCAAACTTCCTGAATAGCAGAACAACTATTAAAATATCGGAATAATAACTGGACAAAAAAAGAAAAGAAAAAAGAACGAAAGGACTGTCTAAAGCAGTGAAACGCTTGATTCGCTAAATAGCAGCAAACATATTGTGACGTTATACTTTTACTATAACTTTTTGTCAGTTTACAAAAATAATACCGTATTCATCATCAATAATAAATGTATCTTTCTTTCATCATCATCTCAGCCATAGGACGTCCACTAGTGAACATAGGCCTCCCCCAATTATTTTCACAAAGGCCGGTTGGTAGTGGTCCAGCGCCTTCCTGCTACCTTTATGAGGTCGTCAGTCCACTTTACAGATCACAGAAACTAACGGGAGATGTGACAAGGGGGCAGGGCCGGTGTCGCAGCAATATGCCCAAAAACCGAACACATTGCTCGTGACAGAAATGATGACAGTAGCGACGTCATAATGTAAACAGTTTACATTGCTTAGGTAGTACTAAAGATTATTCGAATGTTGAGTACTGATACCGCAGTGGATAATGAGCACATATTTTAATTACTTTGTGTGTGTGAATTTCTAATGACACTGAGTTTCGAACTCAGCGCATTAGTTGGCATCTCTCTATGTATATCTCTATGGTTCACCTTGTGGGAGGATGTCCTACGCTGAATAATACCGTATTAACTACATTTTAAAAGGGTGTAAACTGACCTGTCTTGGTGGCGGAGTAGATGTTTTCAATGGGGAACACGCCTCCTAATCCAAACAGTAGCACCTTGGCCAGCGCTGGGACCAGCTGCGTCGTCGTCACTAGCACGTTCACGCAGTTCTCCCTGCAAACATTACAATTTCATATAATAATACGGACGGATACGACCTGCAAGCTTTTAAGAGGAGAGCGTATCTTCACCTTAAAGGCCGGCAACGCACCTGTAACGCCCCCGGGTCTGCGGGTGTCTATGGGCGACGGTAATCACTTACCATCAGGTGATCCGTCTGCTCGTTTGCCTCCTGTCACATAAAAAAAAACTTTCGCTCACAACACTTTGTGGAGTGTGTCACTGTGATGCTTCAACCACACCAACGCAGATCGCCATGTGTGTACACACATTTTCCACCCATTAAGGAAAGTTATTTTGTAAGCTAAGCACGAACCAATCTCAGCGACCTCTGCTAGCAGATATTGCAGTAACTTTTCCAATAGATGGCGTTGAATGTAACTTGACTCGCGATTCAATTTACTATACTGCGGCAATGTGAAATTCAGACAATTCGAAATTTTCAAATTTTCCGTTTTAACTTTTAATTTTTGAATGTACCATCGGCAACGGTGTTAACTATCCATTGCCTGTCATGTCGTCTCGTTCTATCGCAAAGAATCACCACGCAAAAACGGAAATGGATAGTTAACAGTGTGGCCATGTGTACTTCTCTTATCTTAGCAGTGAAAGTTCTTGAGTGGCGACCACGAGCCGGAAGACTTAGCGTGGGCAGACCTCCCACTAGGTGGACCGACGATCTGGTGAAGGTCGCGGGAAGTACCTGGATGCGGGCAGTGCAGGACCGGTCGTTGTGGAAATCCTTTCGGGAGGTCTTTGTCCAGCAGTGGACGTCATTTTGCTATCTTTGGGCCATTTTCCAGCTGTGGAGTGGACGTCATTTGCAACGAACGAACAAAGCTACAGTTCTTACCTGGAGTTGATCATATTGAGGCACTTGCAGGCTAGCGTCGGTGTGTCCATATCTACCCCACCTGGGGGGTATTTATCTACCCCACCTGGGGGGTATTTATCTACCCCACCTGGGGGTATTTATCTACCCCACCTGGGCGGTATTTATCTACCTCACCTGGGGGGTATTTATCTACCCCACCTCGGGGTAATTATCTACCCCACCTGGGGGTAATTGTCTATCCCACCTGGGGGTAATTATCTACCCCACCTGGGATACTTGTTTACCCCATCTGGGGTAATTATATACCCAAAAAGGACATGCTCACCTGTTCCTGTAATTGTTGTATGTATCCTTGGTTGTGGAGATCTTTGGAGCCATTTTGTCCAGCTGTGGACGTCATCTGCAACGGACGAACAAAGCTACAGTTCTTACCTGGAGTTGATCATATTCAGGCACTTGCAGGCCAGAGTTAGCCAGTTGTCGGTTGCTTGTTCTAACTCCGCTCGCAGTTGTAGCCACTGTTCTCTCTTCGTTGGTCCGAGGAGGCCGCCCACACTGGAACAATGATTTAATTATTAGTTTATTTATTAGATCTTTGATGTCATTAATAAAGTACAGTCAACAGTACGTAAGACACATTTCCGTTGCAAAATAGCACTAATTATAACGAAATAAGGTGCCGCGGTGTTTACCTTTATGTGCTAGGAGCCTAGTGCCCGTTTTCACCATCAATCCCTAATTTTTAAGTGACCCCTATACCAACAAAATTCATATTATGTGTTACCATAGGGGTCACTTGAAACTTAGGGATTGATGGTGAAAACGGGCATAGGAGCACTAAATACCACATCTGGTGACTCTAGATGCTTCTCCTGGGGTTACTAGATAACCTTACCTAGGGAAAATTTCCCCACCCAGGGTCACTAGATAGCCCACTTGGGGATTCTAGATATTGCACCTCGGGTCACTAAATACCCCACCTGAGGTAGTTACGTACCCGCTGGGGTAATTATTTACTCCACATAGGATAATTTATCTACCCCCACCTGGGGGTAATTATCTACCCCACCTGGGGTAATTTATATCCCACCTGGGGTAATTTATACCCCACCTGGGGTAATTTTCACCCCACCTGCAGCAAAAAAAGGGTCAATTTCTCACCTATTCCTATAGTTATTATAGGTGTCCTTAATCTTCCTGTACCGGAAGGCCAGCTTCCTCATCCAGTCCACGCCCCCCCGTACCCCTGGAGCGCAAAGCCCCGCCCCCGCCGCGCCCGCGTGGAAGCCGTCCGAGGCGAAGTTGTAAGCCGATAGCGAGCTGACGCTGCCTGATACTATCCGGGGTCACTAGATAACCCTCCTAGGTCAATATTACTTTACCTGGAGTCATTAAAGACCCTAACTGTGGTCACAAGATACCTAGCGCCCGCGTGGAAACTGTCCGAGGCGAAGTTGTACGCCGATAGGTCTTGCTCGTTGTGATATACTACCCGAGGTTACTGGACACCCTTCATATTTTACAACCCAGCTAGGTCACTGGGGTGACTATGAGACTTCTCCGAGGGTATTTAAAGAGACTTATCCCGAGGTCAGTCGATACTCCACTCGTGTCAATGGGGTCACTAGATAGGACACCCCACTCGGGAACAGATACTCTACCTGGGTCACCCGAGTCAGTGGGGTCACTAGATACCCCCATACGGGGATTCTAGATACCCCACCCCGTGACTCTAGCTAGGGGCCCTGGGTCACTAGATACTCCACATGAGGTCTCCAAATACCCCACCTCGGGTAATTATGTAACCCATCTGGGGGGTATTTATCTACCGCATCTAGGGGGTAATTATCTACCCCTTCTGGGGTAATTTTTACCCCACCTGGGAGGTAATTATCTACCCCATCTGGGGGTAATTATCAACCCCACCTGGGGGGTAATTTTCTACACCACCTGTGGTAATTATCTACCCCACCTGGGGGGTAATTATCTAACCCATCTAAAGTAATTATCTACCCCACTTGGGGTAATTTTTACCCCACCTGAAGCAAAAAAAAAGGTCAATTTCTCACCTATTCCTATAGTTATTGTACGTGTCCTTAATCTTCCTGTACCGGAAGGCCAGCTTCCTCATCCAGTCAACGCCGCCTCGTACCCCTGGAGCACAAAGCCCCGCCCCCGCCGCGCCCGCGTGGAAGCCGTCCGAGGCGAAGTTGTAAGCTGATAGCGAGCTGACGCTGCCTGATACTATCCGGGGTCACTAGATAACCCTCCTAGGTCAATATTACTTTACCTGGAGTCATTAAAGACCCTAACTGTGGTCACAAGATACCTAGCGCCCGCGTGGAAACCGTCCGAGGCGAAGTTGTACGCCGATAGGTCTTGCTCGTTGTGATATACTACCCGAGGTTACTGGACACCCTTCATATTTTACAACCCAGCTAGGTCACTGGGATGACTATGAGACTTCTCCGAGGGTATTTAAAGAGACTTATCCTGAGGTCAGTCGATACCCCACCCGTGTTAGTGGGGTCACTAGATAGGATACCCCACTCGGGAACAGATACTCTACCTGGGTCACCCGAGTCAGTGGGGTCACTAGATAGATACCCCCATACGGGGATTCTAGATACCCCACCCCGTGACTCTAGCTAGGGGCCCTGGGTCACTAGATACCCCACATGAGGTCTCCAAATACCCCACCTCGGGTAATTATCAACCCCACCTGGGGGGTAATTATGTACCCCATCTGGGGGGGGGGGTGTAATTATCTGGGGTAATTTATACTCCACCTGGGGTAATTATTTTCCTCACTTGGGGTAATTTTTATGTATATCCTCTCACCTGTTCCTGTAGTTATTGTAGGTGTCCTTAATCTTCCTGTACCGGAAGGCCAGCTTCCTCATCCAGTCGACGCCCCCCCGTACCCCTGGAGCACAAAGCCCCGCCCCCGCCGCGCCCGCGTGGAAGCCGTCCGAGGTGAAGTTGTAAGCTGATAGGTCTTGCCCGTTGTCGTCTGCTGCTACCGCGTCTATGTGCTCCTGGTCGCAGTCCTGGAGATGAGGTTACTTTGAAAATTATAAACAACTTGAAAAAATCGAACTTGAACAATCGAACAACTTGAAAAAGTCGGGAATTGAACCCACGATTATGTTAGGCAGTTTGATTTTTTCAAGTTATTTATAATTTTCAAATTAGTTTGAGATGCGACTCTTAACGCTTAAATTCAATCGATATTAAACTACTGAGATCGTTCTGCCTCCTTCCAAAGGTTGCTGTGCCCTAACTGGGTCCACATTGAACTGCTTGATTGATTGTAAGACCTAAATGCTAATGTGGTGAAGCAATAAAATATTGAGTACTGAGTAACTCTAAAAATTAAATAACTATGAGGTTAGTTGTTTGTGGTTTTTAAGCCTCACATAATAAGTCGCTACAAAATACACCTTATTTTTTAAATAGGACTATAGCAGGCATGCTCCTTTTAGAATAGGCGATGAGCGATTTTTCGACTGTATCGATGCAGCATCGTGATTTCGCGACTTTTAATGCGTTCGGATGCAGTATCGGAATGCGCGTTTTAGCGACTTCTCGCTACATCGAGCTTCCGAAAAACGAATTTCTTGATTTGAATTTGCATTCAGCTTCTAAACATCGGCTAAATCGCCGATGGTAAAATTAGCATGACTGTGTCCTGTGGCTTTTAGTGCTAAAACTAAATATCATCAGCAGTTTGATAGATACCTAAGCCTCATTGACATAATTTCTCAAGTATCAAACATTTTTCAACAATTGAAATGTATGATTACTATTGATTATTGTAATATAGTCTTTTGAACTCACCTCAACATCATTGAAGAAGAAATGCGTGTCAGCCAAACTAAATATCATTTCTTCCATTCTGAAACCTAATTGAACTATTTGTTGTGTATCCTGCAATAAAATTATTAAAATTAATATAAAATCCACATGTGCCAATACTGCTTCATAAAAAGAATCACTTATTTTTGTAGTTTAGATATTTGTCAAGTCTACTTTCAAAATAGATTTGACCTGATAACATCTTTTGATAATAAATAACGTCGTACTATCCGGACGTCGTACTAAAAAGAAGCAATTTTTTACGTAATTTCTCAACTAATAAAAAATATGCGACGCTAAAAGCGGTCGGTCGTTATAAGCGACGTCGTACCTACTAAACGGATTCTACCATGGTTGGTCAGAAAATGCTTTTTTTATGGGTTTATTTGGTGGTGCACAGCTTAAAATGATGGCCTCTTAGATGAACATCTACGTATTATTTGTATATTTTATTTTTTCTTCAATGGTCTTAAGAAAATGTTTTATGTGTTTCTTGGATGGTGGTACACAGCATAAGATGATGGCCTCTTAGATAAAATTCTACTTATTTGTATACATACTTTATTTTTTTTTGTATTTTATTATTATTATTATAAAACTTTATTGGACAATAAAATAGTACAAAAGGTGGACTTAATGCTATTTGAGCATTCTCAGCCAGTCGACCCCTGGGTTATGCAGAAAGCTGTGAGTGCGAAGGTAGAGGTAGAAGGTATTTTAGTTTTTCTTCAATACAATTTAAATCTAAACAATATACAGACATACATGTACCTTATTGTACTTAGTAGCGTAAGTGCCCGTGAGCAGCGAGTGGAAGATAATAATCGTTTCGTCTAGATCCCAGATGAACACTCTGTCCGTAGCGGGCTCGGGCACGTGCTGGGCAGGCGACGAGGAGGTGTTCCGTCTGCCTCTGCCTCGGGATCTGCTTGCTGTGCTCTCTCTGTAACGTTTATAAGGTATTTTTAATTACTATTTACATAAAACACAGTACTTAAGGCGAACTGGTATTCTATTCTATAGCCTTTTAAAATCTACTATATAAAAATAAGTCGGGTTTTCCTCCCTGACGCTATAACTCCAGAACGCACAAACCGATTTCCACGGTTTTGCATTCGTTGGAAAGGTCTCGGGCTCCGTGAGGTTTATAGCAAAGAAAATTCGGGAAAAGGGGGTAAAACGGGATCCACGCGTACGAAGTCGCGGGCGGCCGCTGGTTACTTATGAAAACTGCCCAGTGATGGATATTAGTAATAATAGTATACAGTGAATAGGGATTAAAGTCATAAATGAAACCAAAATCTACTTCTGTCTTTCTTTCAAATTCAAGAATAATTGAATAGTCATTTACTTCTTCATAGGATATAAGCTATGAATTATTATCAATTTAAAAGAGTAGAATATTGTCTAATGATTGAGAAATGCAGTGAAATTGAAGTATACCCCTGATAATGCATTACCACTCATATTATACGCAGTTTACCCAAGTAATAACTCACCCAGAATTTTCTCTACATCTCCGACTTGCTGCGTGTATTTCACTTTTAATTGGCGATAGGGGGCTTGTGTCGTTTATAGAAGGTAACATGGATGACGGAGAATCTGTAACAAAAAATGAACCATTTTTAAAACTTTACAATAAATACATACAAAAATGTGGGATTTTTGGGTGTTATAAAACTTTGCTTGTGTTATGGAATGATTTTAGATAATGCAATGAAGATTTCATGGTTTTTTGTCTGGAGAGGGAACTAAATTAAAACTCAGCTTCTCTATAAAAACTTTATCATTAGTTTAATCTTACTATTACCACTATCAGAGTCAGGCCAGTAGTCGGAATCGTCATTGGGGTTATTATATTGCTGTTCTCCATCACTATCATCTAATTTCCTTCGTTTATTGTAATAGGAACCATCGTTTTCTTTATCCATTGTGAGGTTGTAAATAACTTCAAAAATTCTTATTGCGGAATGTGGGAATATCAGTCTATGAGTGAAACATCAATTATTTTAATGTGTTGAACACTTTATCACGGGATTAATACTAAAATACGTGTATAAAAAATATTTGAACAAAGCTAAGCTCTTTCGACAACAACAATATCACAAAATGTCTATGTCACTGTCAAAATGACAATTTGACGGCCAGACGTACAGTTTCTGTTGGTTGGCAGCATTGGGTATAAAAGATTGGATGCGTTCACATAAAATTATTCTTTGTTAAATATAAAAGAGATGGCTAACCCTAAAATGCTCATTATCAACTTTTTACGAATAGTAGTTATTAATTGTAATAAAATTCTAATTCTAATTTTGGATTTAGAACTGTCGTCATTTTTACGCTCTTTAGTAGAGTTACGATAGCACAGCTTGAAATTAATGAAATTAAGTTAACTTCTCAATTTTTACCTGATAAGGCACCTCCTAAGTGGTAGGAGGTGTGACCAGCGCTGCCGCTGCTACTAGGCGAGCTGACGTAGGGTGAGTAACTGGGCGTCGCATAGTACCCGCCGTATTGAGCTACGTTGTGTTCCGCGTAGCCGGCTGCATAACTACTGTAGTCCTGAGAACAACGTTTTATGTGTTTCTTTAGTTTGAAGATTAGACTAAAAAGGCTTACGCTGAGTTGCACCATCTTACTTTAACTTTAACAAACGTCAAAAAGCTGTCAAAAATCACACAAAAAACAGCGATCATTGTTATCGTTGCGGTTAATGTAAGTTGGTGCAATTGATTTCCAACTGAGTTACTGTTTTTTCTGACCAAATTCAAATGATGCGAGTAGTAATCAACCCCTTAGACAAATTAATTAAGAAATCACTTCAAGTAGCGAGGTAACTACATAATTACAAAATAAGGGGGGTCTGATTAGTTAAAGGTTTCAGAAAGGTGCTGGATTCGAGTCATTTCCAACTAGCTAATCTGGGAATCATTGGGTGGGACCTATGTTCAGCTGTGAAAGTTCTGCAGCTGACATGATGACGAAGATGATGAAATTGAGTCGTATCCCCACAAACCTGCTGCGCCGTGGGGAAGGTCTGCGACAGTCCACCGTTGTACGAGGAATACGCGTACGGTGACGGCTGTGCACTGAACCCACTGCTGGGCACGCTGCTAACGCCGCTCACGCCGTACGCGCTGAGGTACGTCGGCGCCGCTTTACAAGATGACCTGATAGATATTAATGAATATTCTTATACACAAAACAGACATAAAAGAAATATGAAATCATAATGGCACAAAATTTAGGCTTTATTAATGCTAGAAAGCGATTTCTTCCAGAGAAGCAGTGGTCATTTTAATAAGTATTATTTGTGACAGAGCACTACCTAGAGTTTAGGTCCTAGATAATACTTTGCATCATGTAATCAGCAAAAGAGTGAGAGTAATATGAGAGCAAGCGCAGAGGCATTGTTTAGTTTTGTAAAAGAGGTTATGATCAGCCTTAGCACTAGTGTAAAATTCACCGGTTTCTGAACAAGAAAGGTTCTTGAGTAAGTTGATACCACGCAACTCACTGCAGAGGAATGACCAGCCCAAATTAGTTACTGTAACGATGATACCTTTTCCATGCTTGCCAGTATCTTACCTATTGTTAGTATTGTGCGGTGATGGGTACGCAGCGTAAGGCTGGTTGTACAACGTTGAGCCGACGTACGACGACGCAGCGCCTCCTCCTCCATACTGCTGCATACTGTAAAAATATAATTTATATAAAAAACATTACAAAAAAAACTGCGAAACACTGTTTTCGGTGGTATCTACAGTTCAATTTCATCTAAGTAATAGTGGGGATCCTAATTGATCAATCTTTTTAACTTCATAAAAAAGAAATAATCTTTAATTTCCTGTTACTAAAATAATATTTTATGAGGACTACCAAATTGTTATGTGCATCACCACATTGAGCATTTTGTTTTTTGATTGGTTGATTGATTGTTAGAGATAATTGACGGAGCATTCTTCCAATAACACTCATTAGACTAACTTATGTCATCAGCTATAATTATAGGTTGCATCTTTTATGCACATGAAACAATGTCACAGGCCACAGTCAAAGCGTATCAGAACTTTTATAAAGTTTGTTAATTAATAAAGTAAAAATAAACTAAAATAAATTACTTTATCAGGCTTTATTCCTTATTAAACAAAAATACTAAGCTAGAAATCATGGCAAAACTTAGAAAATTAATAAAGTATTGCTGTATGTATTGTAAATTGTAAATAAAAAACCCTTGGAGAATTTTATTGGCCAGTATTGCCAGTAAGTGTTAATTATTATGAAACGGACTAAGTACTGCATCTAATTACATGTCACAAAATGAAGATTTCACTTTGCCTTATTAATTACTAAAGACAGTGCCGGCTGTTACAACTAGTCTCGTTGGACATAAGTTAATTCATAAGCCATGAAATTGACTTTATGGTCAGTAAATTTGAATGAGCCATCAATTGCGTTGATGGCTGTAAACCTCGTGTTGAGGTATCGCTGGAATTAAGACGATGACATCTACGACACTGCACTAACAGGGCATTCGTAAATTATGCAATTCACTCATTAAAATCCTAAAACTATTATTGATGAAACGTCATACTACATTATAATCAAGAGATCTTTTTAAGCTTTATGAAACACGTATTAAATAGGAGTAGGTACTTATAAATTATTCGATTTCCTTATTGGATAATTTGTAGAAAAATAAATTAGAGTCAATGCAATGATCATTGATTATGAGATGACAAAAGCATAAGCGACTGGTCGACTCTACATCCGAGGTAGGTACGCTGGTTCAAACCCTGCCGCTACGGGACTACTGTGGTGAATTCATAACAAGCATTTATCAATATAGTATAATTATTTTGCATAAAACGATGAGTTAAATTCTTAAAAAAATGAATGATCACCTTTGGGAAGGCAGGTCTTTTGAAAATAATGATATTTTTTACTCTGCACATGCCAATTAATTAGGACAGTTGGCGCATGAGGCATTTAATATCCTTTTTAGTACCATGCTTGTGCAATACATTGTAATCGGCCACTAATACTAATCAAGTATAGTTAGGCGGCTTCCTCAAAATCCTAGGGAGCGTTCACCCCAACAAATTAAGTCGTCAACAACGATCGAGCGACTTGATGAAGATTTATTATGGGAGATTAACAACAATTATGTATGCTTTAGTTGTTTTAGATGACGTAGGCATAATAATTTTGGTTGAATACAGTATACCCCTTTGTACAAGTCTAAAAATTAAGTTTTTAAACTACTACTAATGATTAATTTGATTGTCTACGGTGATGAGCAGGAAAAAATTAAATAATTACAATAATTTATCAATTAGCATGTCAAATACCACACTACTTATTCGGTTTTAATTAATTAACGACCGTAAATCCAATTTTAAAACAATCATAGCTAGATCAAATTAAAAATTGAATAAAATTGAACCATTAACCCATGATAGAAGCTTAGGCTTGAGTTTGGCAAGTTTTAATGGAATCAAACTATAGTTTTTTTATAGCAACTTTATGTTAATCAAATCAAGAAGCTTCTGTTGTGTGTGATCTACGTTGTAATGGTTGAAGAACCTTTTAATGGGTATTTTATGAATATTAATACAAAATATTGTTAATCGTCAAGGTTATGTAAGCGTATTTTGGGTTGCGTTTACATGCCTGACTTATTAGTTAATCTAATTAGAATTGTTATTATCTAATTAGAGTGAAGCTCAAGCTTAAATTAAACGGACATAATATTTTGTATTGTGTGTTTACGGAAAAATATATTTTTAGACTGCTATATTTTTATGCTTTATGCATAATGCATCTGGACCCAGTAGGTAATGTAGGATCCTGTATAACTGGACTGTTGTGTGAATACTGTTTGAATTCCTACTAACGGATATACGTGTCAATGTAACTATTAAAACACGTACTACTACTAAACGCGGGATTCGCAAAAAAGGGGGAACAAGCCCAAGCCTTACGTTATAGTCTACATCTTGGCTTATAACGAAACCTAATTAGAGAAGTCGTAGGTGTCTTTCTTGGAACCTGCAACTCATCGTCAAAAAGAGAGCATACCTATTATAGTACTGGTACGGTAGCGCGGTCTGCTCATAAGGCAGGGACTCCCCGTAGAGCGCCACTTCGCCCTCGCACAGCCCGGGGCTGCGCACCTCGCTCTTGACTCCACCTGTGGCAAATAAACCTATTTAATTATAAGTTCTTAAATTCCCAAAGCTGCAAACTGAGGATAGCCCCCCTCTTATGTACTTAATTTGTAGTTTCTAAATTAGTAATGCTATGGATCTTATTAAAATTTTCTCGTAGCAATGTAGATTCATATTTTAAGTAGTTGACTGTTATTTATCTTTAATGATAGTAATTCTAATCCTTTTTGTTTACTTTTTCAGAGGAACTGTGACGTTCTACATTTCTTACCCGCACTATCTTCATTCATCAACCAGGCTACCGCGGACGAGGAGGTGGTAGACAGTCCAGTTGACGTCAGCGGCAGAGCCAGCCCCAGCGAAGTGCTTGTGGCGCATCCGTTCGAGACCACACAGTCTTCAGAACTACCAGGCAAGCATAACCCGTCAGTGGACAGGCTTAGAGCCGTGTTCGTCGAACTAGCCGTGTTCTGGAACAGCGTCGAGGAACCAGAGACTAGGAGCGCGGGCAATGTTGCATCTTGTAGTAACGAGGGGGGTGAATTGGAGGTCGACTCGGACTCACACGGACTGGTGTTGATTTCGCCAGATAATCTGGAAAAGGTATATTTAATTAATATTTTCATGTACCTATCTAGTTTTTTGAATAAAACAATAGATGTAATAAGAGGTTTTGCTATTGTTGCTGCTTTATGCTACACAGTGTATTGTTCTGTTTGGCATCATTCTCAAACATTAGATATCTAACTTTGTAAATCGCTCTCCTTCTTCAATTGTTGACAGACCCATAAACCCGGTTTTAAAAGGCCGACGGTTTAACAAAACATTGGAAATAAAAAAATCCATTAAAAGCGCCTCCGTCTGTTTACAGAGACGCCTCGTTCTATAAACAGTCACTTATCTGAAATGTCTTAATTTCGGAAGGAGGAAACAAACCAATCAAATGTTAAATGGCGAACACGTTTCGTTTTACAACGTTGGAACCTCGAGCGTAAAACAGATTGGTGTAATTGAGTTTTTCAAATCCCAAATCAGATGTTTGTTTTAAATTAGAGCCATTAAAACAAATCATCCAAATCAAATAACAGATGCCTGACAGACCCCTCGTATCTCGGCAGTTAGTGGGTTTATCTGACAAAATGTTTACACGTGTCCCTATATTAATTATTTATTTATTTATTTATTTATTCAAGGAAAATCTACAGCATATTCTTATAATAATTACAAGTATCATGCTTAAATTATATAGCAAGTAATGCCAATTACAGGTTTTCCTTAGTTACATAGTAAACTAAATGCGAGTCGGATACAATGATCACAGTAGTGTATATCTAACAGTAGATAGATGTTGTACTACTATAATTTTTTTATTACTATTCTATGCAAATAAATGTTTGAATTCAAATTTGAAGTATTTATATTTACTTAAGCTTAAATTGTAAACAATATTATCACACTATATATACAGGGTGTTAGGCAAATGGGCACATGAGCCGACACCAGCCCATGCCAACACGGCCACATAAACGGTATGGTGAAGTCAGAAACCTGATACCATCATTCCATCCCCTTCAACTTTCATAGAAAATAAATTTTATAAAATCCGATTTGCATGAAAATCAAAATAATCAAAATGAAGACATAAACCCTCCGACCCCACCACACCACTCACATGACCATGCCAACACGGGCCAGGGTCGGCCCATACACCCATTCACCCAACACCCTG